AGACCTGTGCACAGCTGTAATTGTTAGGCGTCTGCGTATAAAAGATTGCAGCACTAACGCATCTAATCCGTGTATGTTTTTTCCTTATTCACTTACATTAACATAAACTACGAGCATGACAGTATCATTCTTGTAATTTCTTACTAATCGTAGTTTTCGTAAAACGTTCAATAGGAAAACGGTAAATAAATTCGGTGTGCAGACTCAGACATATTATTATATGCCCTCAGCCCTTGAGATGTCTTTGTATTTGTATCCTGCGGTTTGTTATAAAGTGTGGTCACCATAAATATAAATTTCTCACTGTATGGTGTCTAAGAAGCCCTACAGAGCCCTACACTTCTTAACAGCTTACACTGTTAAGAAGATTTGCTTGCAGTTTTTGGTTTAGTGGAGGTTATTCCCTAACCTTCATACCGTACTGCTATATACCCGGTCACCTTGTCACATTAACCGCCTTTAATAGTCCACTCCTGAGTATAAGCCTCTCCTTAAAAATGAGGTTTTGGCCTACTGACCACGCTGGCCAGACGGGTTGGTATAGGGTTTGTGTCAAGTTTTCCTTCTCTTTGCAGTGCTGTTGTTTTGCGTAGTTTTCTCCCTTAGTCGGCTCTTACGACACCCACGGGATGGATAGGGGTGTTGACACTCTGTATTCTTAATCCGTCACCACACGCTCACCTTGTATTTTATATAAACTCTTAAACATTTCTTTATTCATATTGATAACGAAGTCTACTATTGCTGGTAAACAGGAGGTAAATAAATTAATATGCATACGTGCTAAATACTCGCTAACAGATAGTACATTAGGTAAAGAAATAGTAATTTGTGACTGCGTTTAAAGTTCAATACTCTTTTTGTTTTTTAATTATCTTTCGTTATATAATGATGCTATAGGTGGGCTGTTTACGGGAGTCTATGTTTAGTGCAGACTTCTAGTTGAAGAGCTTCTCTGGCTGAAAGTCCTGACAATAACAAATGCAACAATAAAGTTAATAATAATAACCCCACACATTTCATAAACGGCCGTCTGATCCCAAACTAGGCAGAGCCTGTACTATGGTAACCACACTGCTGATAAGCATATTTATATATTTCTAAATACATACATATTATAGATAAATTACACTCAGAATTATTTGTCCTAGGTTCGGTTTCTCGGTCGATTTCGGTTGGATTTCCACATAACTACCCCACCGGTGGTTGCTATCCAAGGGTACTTCTGCACAAAAAAAATGTAAAAATCCAATTCACGACCTGGCTTGGCAGCCAGTATTACTAACCTAACAGGCCTGTCAAAAACGTTTAGTGTAACTAATATGGAGGCATTAGTGAAGGTTTGAGTGTTTCACAAATGCCCGCCATTCTCTGTCCAAAAAAAAAAGAAAAAAGGTGGCCTCACTAACTATCGGACAGTCATAAGAGTAAGCGATCCTGGCCTCTTCGTACTATTACAGTTTGAGTTCAGTTCCTCATTTCACACTAATGTCTTTCCCTCTCTCACTCGCCTTATCAGGTTTCTTGATTCCAATAATTTACTTTCTACATTTGTTCCGCATAAAAACGATTACATTCTCAAGGAGGATTAGTTTCAAGAGCCGTCTTTACATTAAATCAGCTAAAACCTTTGGCCCTGTGAAACGTTTCACCGACCCAAAAATAAAATTCGGAAAAGTCAGGAAGATAATAGATTGATGTAATATTATGATAGGTAAATATATGTATAATGTTTATAATTTATATCCGTGTGGCGAACAAACATTGCTCACGTTGGCCAGTTAATTAGGAATCAGGTAGTGGGCATCGCACACAGCTCACAGAACGAACGGTGGATGCGACAGAAATGTTTTGGAGTAGAGATCACAGACCGTCCGTGCGATACGTCCGTGTGGTGATGATGGATTAAGAATACGGCTTGTCACTACCCCTATTTATCCCGTGGGTGGCCGACTAAGGGAGCGAACTACGCAGGACAACAGCACTGCAGACAAAAGGAAAACTTGACACAAACCCTATACTAACCTGTCTGGCCAGCGTGGTATAGTAGGCTAAAACCTTCTTGCTAAGGAGAGGCCTATGTCCAGCAGTAAACTATAAAAGGCTGTTGTTGATGATGATGATCATGTGATGTGATTTAATTTATCATATTTCATATTTATATTTTAAATATACAGCTAATTTAATTAACAAAATTAAAACTGGCAACTTGCAGGTAATAGATGCAATTTCTTCAAGTCTATAAATTGGTGGTCAGTGTTGATTGTGTTAAATGAAACTCTATCTCTAACAAATTAAACTTTAATTTTGTATGTCACATACTGGTTGCAGTAAATAGGTAAATGTTTAGTACTATGTGTTAGTAATTAAGCGAATAGATGCAGTTTCTCTATTGCAATACAACTTTCACACTAGTCTTGTGAGAGTAGATTCATTTAATGTGAAGTACAAATACGATCTTGGCTTATTTAACAAATTATGCGTGATATGTTCGTGAGAAAACATAAAAGGTATTAAGTAAAAGGCAATAAAAGTACTAAATTGAACCTCTGTTTTGTAATATCATGTAAAATTATCAAAACTCTCAAACTTTTTTAGTTTATTTACTAAGTTTTTATAAGCTAACAGCGCTGTTTTTGTTAATAATTGTTTTAACATCGCATCTATTACATGTATTGAAGTGATAACCAACATCTAACACCAAGAAATGCTGTGCTAATTTGACTTTACGGATGGCGTAGTTGTTGAAGCGGTCACCTCGCTGCTTTCTACTTCGCTGAGTGTTGTGGGTTCGATCCCTACATGGGACAACACTTTGTGTGTGATACACAAATTGTTGATTTAAGTCTGGGTGTTCTATATACTATACAAATAAATAAAATTGTAGTGTCTGTTTGTAATATTAAAATAACCGCTTTTTACTAAATGCATATGTATGTTTACACAGTACATATGCCAAAATATCATTTTTTTACAATTTTTGTCTGTCTGTCTGTCTGTTTGTTCCGGGTAATCTCTGGAACGGCTAGACCGATTTTGACGGGACTTTGACTGGCAGATAGCGGAAAATTTTGTAGACTAGGTTCGCCCCGCGGCGTTGCCTGCGGTTATAACAACAAACGCGGGTAACACCGCGGGTCTCAGCTAGTGTTTCATAAATGTCTGTAAAGTCCCTCACGACACAGGATAAATTACGCGTAGTTGTCTTTTTGGTAAGAAATCGCTACTAAGTCCAATGCTTGTTTTCTCCCAAGGCTATGTAAGGATAGCTTAGAAGAGCAGTCAATAATACAGCAAAATCTTAAGTCATCATTGCGTGTGGCTGTTCGCAGGTTGGTTGCTGGGTTCGGTTCGTCGATAGCGCTTATATTAGTCGAGTACATCACATTTCTGTCTGGACTAACAATGTTCTCACCTTCCGTCTGCCTAACTTGTATCCTTTTTTAATTTGTGTGCTTAAAACTGAAACGCTTGCTTGTGTGTGGTGGTATAAATTTTGATTTTATTTTCAAAAGGACTTAAAAACGTTAAAAAGTTCAAGGTAAAATAGATTCTAAAGCTGTATCTATCATTATTCTGGAATATCGACACAACAGCTCAATTTTTCAACGTCTATTGAGTTTATTTTGCTGTAAAAAGAGCAGAGAAACAATATAAATAAAACAGCCATCGCGAATCTTACGCATTAATATTATTTTTTCCAAGTCTTATCAGAGTTATTGTACATTTCATTTTATTGTTAAATGTTATGTCAGTCAATACAACTACGCAAAAGACCTATGCATATATACGAGTAAACCTAAATTTATATTTTGTGTAGAAGAATATACTTATCTACTCAAAAGAATATTATTAATAATAATAAAATGCTCTAAACCCTTCCACATTGGTCTCCTAAATCAGTAGGGTTGTGATTTTATGATAAATGAAAATAAATATAATGAATATTAATTGAAGTCTACTCTTATACCTAAGCTACTGGTATGAAGGTTAAGGGAAGATTTGAGGACGTATCACCTGTTTATCATTTCATTGGCTCTCGGCAGTGCATAGGTTTTGTGCCAGTGACAACCCTAAATGCTTACCATGACGATAAGATACTACAACAAATACATCTTGTTGATAAATATAACAAGAACAATTAATAAAATACAACAATAAATATATACGGTTTTATAACCTTAAGGGGTAATCAGACTAGGCGTAACACACATACACGTTTGTTGATATTCTTTTTCCTCTTTAGTATGTTAATATGAGTATAGTGTTGGCTTGAAATGTTAGTTCATATTTTAGTAAATTTCTGGTGGTTTTGAGTGTTTCCACGGCCTAATCAAGTGTCCTGCTGACATTAGTGTCGTGTTCCTGACTATATTGGTTAGGCTACATGATGGCTGGGGCCCGTATGCCGACAATGGTCCTTTCTTCAAAAGGCCAGCCCAAACCCTATACTGCACTCACATAGTTCTCTTTAACATTGTACACGGATTTAAAACAAAGTTACCTCTGTGGTTTCTTTCGGCGTTTCATCCCAAAGTGAGCCTTAGGAAATGCCGGCGCCTTCTAGCTGTAAAGTCCGATTTGTAAAAGTATAATAAATAAAATGTATCACATTTATTGGTATTCTTGTTTCTCTTTATTTAAACACTGTTCGTTCTACTGCTACAACTATTCTATTACAAAGCAGAAGAGTTTATATTTGAACGCTCTAATCCCCGGAACTAACAATCGAATGAAAAAGGTGTACTTGAAACTATTTTAATAGACATTATTTTTTGTAATCTGAATTCCTTAACCAGTATTACAGCAACAGCAGCTCATGGCTGCGCGTCGATCGCACTTTCCTATTTCATATTGGATGGTTGGTTATGTGACTGGTATTGGCCAATATTTGCGATGTGTAGTGTACTGCCTTCCTGCGTAGATATGGCCACTGCATTATTAACGTTCTGCAGTATCAAGTGTTAAGAATTGACTATTGTTTTTAGTGTATAAGGAAGATGAAGGCTTTGCTTAAATTATTTGTAAGTTGTTTATTTTTTATTTGTAGTATTTGTATAAGTTTTGAAGTTCATAGAGCTGTTAATTTCTTCAGTCGTTGATTTAATTTATCGTTAATTTTATTTTTAGAGCTGTAATGAGGATAGACAAAAATAATTAATATTTGAATGTGTGTAACGGAATATTACCCGTTAGGAATTTTATGGTGCGTAAATATGCTGCATGCCAATTCAATACACTGTAACTTTTGAAAACGACTTTTACTTTGAAAGCTTTATTACAGTTTTTACCATGTTAGAAGCCTAATTTCAATACAATACAGTATTTTTTAGATTATTGTCTCTTCTAAAATACACTTTAGAATAACAAAAGTGTTGACCAGGGGTACTAAACTGACGTAAAGAAACTGATTGAGCGTTGTCAAGGCAAAACACTGTAAGTCGAGTCTTTACGACAGTATGGCTGAAGTACTAAATATCCTGTTTCAGCTATATTTAATCTTAAGCAGTGTGGCAGCTTATGTATGTATGCGCATAAAATGTCTTATAGTTTATCAAAGAATTACAATGAAATGAAAAACGACAAAATGTTTTATGTATTTGCAGTGACTCCTTATGAATATATAATTAAATCTCAATCAACTTTTGTAATTGATTTCATGATCAATTACTATCCATTCTTGGTAATTTTATTTTTGTCTCTGAAATGCCAAAAAAAACGGTTCTTAAGTTAAGACTAAAGCCCTACTGTACATTATAACTGGAGAATGGGCCAATTACTAGGTAATTCTTTTCCACCAGACTTCCTACTCATGCCTAAATTTACTTCAACAAACAACAACAGCCTTTAATAGTCCACTGCTGGACATAGGCCTCTTCTTAGAAAGGAGGTTTTGGCTTACTATACCACGCTGGCCAGACGGGTTGGTAAAGGGTTTTTCTTTTCTTTGCAGTGCTGTTGTCCTGCGTAGTTTGCTCCCCTAGGCGCCTCTTACGACACCCACGGGATGAATAGGGGTGGTGACACTCCGTATTCTTAATCCATCATCACACGAATAAATTTAGTTATATCCAAATCATAGTCGACTTTTACAAGTCTTGAATGGAGCCAAAAGTAATATTTTCTGGTAACAACAATACTTAAAATAATTTTATTGAACGTATATCAATGCTAACTTTCACTTGGCGAGTTAAGGTTATTTAAAAGTTTTAAAATTAAAAAACAAACACATAACAGGTAACAAATATTTATTATTTAATATCATACTTTGAAAAATGACCTCTGTATGATACTAAAAACAAATTGCAAACAAATTGCTCGTGCTAGGCGGGTCGCCGGCACTAGAAGCTGAATTGACTCGACATGCGAAACGCTTAAATCGGCCTTTTTGTATAATACCAATGTATGTAGAACATTTAGTTAGGATGTAGAAAGCTTATGCAAAAATATAATATAATGTGAAAAAAATAACATCATTAAATGATGATCAAAATTAAAATTTGATAAACTACGAACTACGCAGGACAACAGCACTGCAAAGAGAAGGAAAACTTGAAACAAACCCTATATCAACCCGTCTGGCCAGCATGGTATAGTAGGCCAAAACCTCCTTTCTAAGGAGAGGCCTATGTCCAGCAGTGGACTGTCATAGGCTGTTGATGATGATGATGATGAAACTTCGAACTTAAAAATCGTAGGTACCTACGTCCGCGCATGTCCAACAATGAGCAACACTATAACATCCCTGTCCTATACATTAGCTTATTTAGTTTAATATTTTTCTTTCTTGAAATTTGAGTTATACAACTTATTAAACGGTATGTTAACTAAATACTAGTTAAGTACCTATTAGATAAGCATCTCAATTCATTCGATTTTTATACCTACTGTTCTTTCTCTTAAATAAAAAACATAAATCGATATTACGAGTATTCCTTCAAAATTATTTTGCAGATTCGTTTGACGTAGGCTTCCATCGAACAGACATCGATATTTACCTACTAACTAAAATTTACTTAAATACATTGCCTCTTCATTTTCAAGGACAAATGTTGAATACCACGAACGGTTATTTTTGAACGACAGGAATAAAAAACTGGATGAGTTTTAGCATTTCAATACACAAAGTCATTGTTTAAATCCATAAATTATTTCATTACGTCACAATTTACTACCTTTTATTAATATGTTTGTAACGTTTCACATTAATAATGTTCACAGATAACCAGCGAGCACCAGCAGCTTACCAAATCGCGCGACTACAAGGGGGGATGGTCCTTCTACTTGATCCTAGCTGGCATCATCACTACATTGGGATTGTCGCTCCCTGTCGGATATAACATAGGAGTTGTTAATACACCCGCTGACGTGAGTACCATAACGTATATACCTAAGCAATTAGTTAAAATAGCTCTTTTTTTAAGTTATCCAGGAAAATATTATTTTTGCGTAAGATTCGATATCTTCGAATTCTTGAGTGAGCCATGATTTGGGACATATAGGCATTTTGGGACAAAAAATCTATCTTTGGATTTCACTGATTGGTAAATTAAATGTTTCACTGGGGAGTGAAGCATTTAATTTACCTAAGAATGAATGGAATGGAGTCCCCATCGGAATGGGGATTCCGATGGGGACTCTTGAGTGCGGGAGTTCATAGGCGACGGTAGTCGTCCATATGCCATTAACAAATATATTAAAGTTGTTTTTTTTTTAAAGGATTGGTTTACTGTCCTTTTGCATAACATCAAATAAAATGCGAAACGAAATGATGTTACGAAGATTGTGTTGTGAAAACTACGATTATATATTTAACGTTAAATATTTGCAAAATCATAAATTCATTTACGATGAAAGTTCACAGAATTATATACCTTAAAACAAAGGCCTTGAAGGTTAAAGTACAAGGTTCAAGTCACACGACTTTAACCTCGGACCAAGAACGATTAAAATAATTACATCCTTAATGTTTGTTCCAGTTAATAATTAATTACTGTAATTATTTGTGTTCCATTTTAAAGAGAATATATTTGAGACCTGATTGTGGCGACTTCCACATAACCGCTAATTCTGTATCGCGATATGAAAATTTCCCACGACGATTAGCACATAAATTTACAACTTCCCAACATCAACTGTTGCCGCCCGCCAGGCACGATAACTTCGCCTGGTCGGAGGAACCTTTTGCGTTGGAGGGACATGAAATTCGTTCCTCCAAATATTTATTACAACTGAAATATAACACAGCTCGAAAAAACATTACATTATTCATTTTGCATTTAATTATGTATATGAATTGCCTCGTTCTGATTGGGCACGATTTTGTTTTAATTTAACATGCTTTATCAGACTTGGGGTATATGATTGTGTAACTTAAACTGGGTAAGTAAATTAAACACATATATATTTTGTACATAAACTTTAAAATGATTTTTTACACGGAAATTTCTATGAAATAGCGGCTCGTGACGTCATACACCGCGATTTTTTAATTTTAACTTTCTAAGGAGATGCCTATGTCTAGCAGTAGATTGTTGAAGGCAGTTGATGATGATGTGTTGTTTGTGTAAATAGTAAAAATAGTAAGGATTATATTATTTTATGGAGGAGTGATGAAATCAATCATCTGCTTTAAATATTATTTATTATTATGGCAATAGAATTGTAAATGCTTTGAAACTGTGTTCTTTAAATAAAATTACAAAATTATATTTCCTGTTTTAATTTTTTTTGACGTATCGGTGCTAAATTCCGCTATTATTTTTCTGACGATAATTGCCTTTAGAAATAAAATAACAAGAAAAATCTATATTATTTATTTCCAGGTAATAAAACAATTTTGTAACGAGAGTTTTGTGAGCCGCTACGACGTGCATCTTGACAAAAAATGGCTGAACGTGCTCTGGTCTTCTGTGGTTTCCATTTTCATTGTAGGAGGATGTACAGGCTCCATTCTCGGCTCTGTTCTTGCCAACAGTTTGGGAAGGTAAGATGTTCTGATTTGCAAATGAACATTTCTCAGAATTACAATATGTAACTTCTTCTCATAGATAAAGAAATCCTCTAGGCATCCGCATTTCTGGTCTCCAGGATTATTTTACAGATTACGTCGTACGTATATTGTTCTAAATACAATAATGTAAAAAACATATATTGGAAGACTGCAGTTACACCCAAATATACTCACTCACCACCATATGCTCACCACCTTCTGGATGATATATTTCCAAGTACTCAGAGACTAAAGAAGAGAGTCATCACATCAACAGCCTTTACTAGTCCACTGCTGGACATAGGCCTCTCCTTAGGAAGGAGGTTTTGGCCTACTATACCACGCTGGCCAGGCGGGTTGGTATAGGGTTTGTTTCAAGTTTTCCTTCTCTCTGCAGTGCTGTTGTCCTGCGTAGTTTGCTTCCTTAGTCGGCTCTTACGACACCCACGGGATGAATAGGGGTGGTGACACTGTATTCTTAATCCGTCACCACACGAAGAGAGTACCTCAGGGTTTTCTATAAGAGGATATGTCACTGGTAAATACCTTGCACGCCGCTAGAATCATCATTGTCAAAATATTGCTGTCACCTAGACAGATTGCAATAAAAAAAAATAGTTTTCCATATTTTTGAGATAAAAAAAAAGAAAAATTTGGTACCATTTGAACTATCACCGGGGCATTGAAAAAAAATTCCTTTCACGGAAAAGCTTTATATACTATCGGCAACTTTTAAAAATACCATCCATTTGATGCTAGCTGGATTCTTTAGAAATATTTGTAAAATGGCGCATATGAAATTTATTGTTTACTTAGGTATGTAATTTTACAGAAAAATGGCCACGGTAGTGACAAATGTGCTGTCGATAGTAGGCGGCGTGTTTTTTCTGCTCTGCGAACGAGCTAACTCTGTTGAGATGCTTGTTTTAGGAAGATTACTAGTCGGTTTATCTGCTGGTAAGTTGTTAAGCTGTTATACAATTGATGTCAGCTAGGTCTGATATCAGCTAGACTACGACTTTGTAAATTGTTAGTGTTGTTCACGATGTGATTATTTAAATCCTGTGGTTGGCATACTGCCGTCAAAAAACTCGTAGTGCTCATTAGTCTGTAACAGGTACAAGGCAGGAGAGGAGGTAGAGCGATTTTTCCATTGGTTTTATAGAGATTTTTGTGTAGTTACCGCTCCGCTTATTAAATCAAAAATAAATTATAGACGTTATCAAATGTATTTTTTTTTCTTTATGGAAATGACTTGATCAATTCTTAGAAAAAATACATAACTATATAAAATTTAGAAAAAATATGATAGCATCTTTTTCCTCTTTTTTAATCACTTTATCATTCTACAGGCCTAACCACCAGTATAGTCCCCATGTACTTGGCGGAGCTAGCACCATCGAAGTTAACAGGCGCCATGGGTGTAATCTGCCCCATGGGCGTGAACGTCGGTGTGCTGGTCGCGCAGGTCATGGGAATAGATATTTTATTGGGTGAGTAAAAACACATCATGATGATCATTATAGTAAGTGTGTTTTTTATATAATCTCAGGTTTTTCAGTTTCTACAGTTTTCTCATTTGACACTTATCTAAAAATAACTTAACACATCGCAAACCCGGTCAACAGGGCCTCAATTCCGCTATTTTAATATTGTATCAATATACTGTAGGTGGAATGTCGTCGGAATAGTTTTGCACTTTTCCTATTCTACTAACTATGTAAGACCAATGACCTCCCGATGACTTGTCACTGATACAATTGTTTATCTTTATCTGCTATAACTAATATATGTTTATCTACCTGCCTACCTACTTTTTCGAAAAATAGAATCTCTGCTGGTTTTATTCGCTACATATTACTCATTCGTTGTATGTGTAACTGTCAAGTGTTATGTAATGGTAATAAGCTCATTTTAAATTAAGTAGTGTTTTTTGATATTTTCAGTACAATTAAGTAATTATTAAGTGTGACATGATGACAATAATTATAGATATGATACAGTGAATTGCCAAACCAGTAGACAGATCACCAGGGTCCCAATTCTGCTATTTTAAGATTGTATCAATAGACTGTCGGTGGAATGTCGTCGGAATAGTTTTGCACTTATCCTATTCTTTTCTCACTAACTATGTAAGACCAATTGCCTCCCGATAACTTGTCACTGCAACAAATGTCGTCGATGTCTTTATAACAGTTTGGTAAACATTTTAAATTTGTAAGAAAATTATATATTTAATTTTCCAGGTATGGCAATGTTGTTAATATCACCATTGATGACCTATATTACTATATCGACAGTCTATTGAGACTGTAAATTTATGTTAGTAGAATACTGATATTTCGACCAATGTCAACAGCGCGTCAATGGCATCTCAATAGCGTGTCAATGGACAGTGGCTTCGCATTAACATAAAATAGCAGAATAGGCTAGTTGACTGAATTTGAAAACTTTGTTGATTATATACGTTAATTATATAATTATAATATCTATTTTATCCCAAAAAACCTATATTTTAAATAAAAAGCAATATTTACATTACGTATTTTGTATTAAAAAAAACAATTAAAATTTGTTATTAGTTGACACAAGCCTATTGAGGCCCAGATCCCATGTTAACTGGATTGCCGATGAACATATTTATATATTGTTAGCACACACATTATAGATCAATAAAATTAGACACAGAACAAATGACCTTACTCATCACACAATAATTTTTCCTGAGCCGGAACCCAACCTATGACCTCCAGCTTAGCAGTTAGGTCCGCTATCTACTGGAGCCACATCCCAGTCAAAAACTCAGTAAAGTGGTTTATATCAAACCATATAAGTGTATGTAACCTTGTGTCCGTTTCATGTATGTTTGTAAAGTCCCCCGCGACACAGGATGTATACCAATATCTATACCAATATCTATACAAATAAATAAAATTGGAGTGTCTGTTTAATATTAAAATAACCGCTTTTTACTAAATGCATATGTATGTTTACACTGTACATATGCCAAAATCACATTTTTTTCAATTTTTGTCTGTCTGTCTGTTTGTTCCGGGTAATCTCTGGAACGGCTGGACCGATCTCGACGGGACTTTCACTGGCAGATAGCTGATGACATAAGGAGTAACTTAGGCTACTTTTTTTAGACTAGCTTCGCCCCGCGGCGTTGCCCACGGTTATAACAACAAACGTGGGTAACACCGCGGGTCTCAGCTAGTATTAAATAAATGTAACTTTTCTTAATATTTATTTTTTTATTCGTTCCAGGTCATCCTGATCACTGGCCCTACCTCCTATCCGCCTTTGCGTTTCTAGTCATTATAACGTTACCAGTGTTATTTATACTCCCTGAGAGCCCTAAGTTCTTATTTGTAGTTAAGAGAGACGAGGAAAAAGCTTTAAAAGGTAATTAATTATACATTTATTACGGTAACGCTAATCTAATATAAACACTACATTATGTCAGAATAAAATGAACTTAAATATAAAGTTGTCCCTTTGGAGACGTATTAAGAATGTAGTAAGAGTCGATTAAGGGAGCAAAATACGCAGGACAACAGCGCTGAAAAGAGAAGGAAAACTTGACACCCTATACCTACCTGTCTGGCCAGCGTGGTATAGTAGGGCAATACCTCCTTTATAATACTTAGGCCCATGTCTAGCAGTGTACTCTTAAAGTCTGTTGATGTTGATGAATTATAAAGTAGTTTGATGAATAACATCTTTCTTCTCGCTTTTCTAAATTGCAACGGAGTGTGTAACAGGAAGCTGGGGAAAAGCGCGCGCAATTTGAATTGACCAATGAGCGCGCGCGGTGTTAGTTGACCGTCAGATGGTGGTGGTGAGCGACTGCTATAAGCCTCGTTGTTTTTTAATTGAAAGGATTTATGTACTAATTTATCAAATTGGAAAATATGTTGTTTTTTACTATTCTCAAATGATGCTCAAACGTCATACTCGTCTTCCTTCTGTTTATTTCTTTCGTTTTCATAGCTCATTTTCTCTATCTCAGATTTTTTAATTAAAGAAGCGTTATTTTTTTAATTTAAAAACTTTTACTTTAATTTCGAAGGAGGCACTGATTAAGGCGTTTTTTTAAATAAACTGTTGTTTACATGTTTCTAGAACTGAGTCGTCTTCGCGGCGTGTCCATTAGCGTTCTCAACGATGACATAGAGCTGCTGCGCGAGGAGTCGCGGCGCAGCGAGAGCGCGTCCCTGTCTGGCGACACCAACTGGTCCATGATGAAGGTGCTGCTTGACAAGAGGCTCCGCTTGCCTCTGCTGCTGGTGTGCAGCATGCAGGCTGGCCAACAAACCAGTGGGATTAATGCGGTTAGTTATTGCATAGCAGTCTTTGAATCTCGAAGTAGTTTGAACACACAGTTTTGAACCTAGGTCCAGATTAAACCGAGCTTTTACTATAGATTTTAGAACGCAGAATAAAAATAAATAGAGATATTTTGTAAATATATAGAGAGGTTACAACGCTAGTACCCGACTATGTATTTTGAATTTGTGTATTTATAAATGTGTATTTTCATGTATTGTATGTTTATACTTGAGACCTCTATGTATATGTGTAGTAATGAATAAAGTATTTTAGTATTTGTAAGTTAGATTTATCTTAAAATTATAAATGTAATATAAACAAGACAAATTCTCTGTTTTCTCTTGCACCTACAGCATCATTTTTCTACATCACCCGAAGGTCGACTGGCAGAGAATGCCCTGGGCATTAAGTCCGCCTGTGCACAACTTGTGCATTAAGTTAAATAAATAAATATTTGCCATACACGGGAATCTAACCCGTAATGCTCGCTGTACAGTTGTATTGTCATAACAGCGGTTGTGTTATCAATACAACATGAAAAATAAACCTGGTGATGAACAAACACTACCATTATATCTATACTAATATTATAAAGCTGGAGAGTTTGTTTGTTTGTTTGTTTGTTTGTTTGTTTGAACGCGCTAATCTCAGGAACTACTGGTCCGATTTGAAAAATTCTTTCAGTGTTAGATAGCCCATTTATCGAGGAAGGCTATAGGCTATTTATCATCACGCTAAGACCAATAGGAGCGGAGCACCAATGAAGAATGTTTCAAAAACGGAGAAAATTTATTACTATTGAAAGACGCAGACGAAGTTGCGCGGGTCAGCTAGTAGCATATAAATATAATAGAAAACCTATTTGATTTTTATTCATTTCTGTCTTCTTTTTCGAGAACATATCCCTAACATCCTGTATGGCAATGAAATTTACGAGTTTTTCAGGTCTTTAATCATACATCGTTTCCACAGGTGTTTTACTATTCGCAAACAATCTTCCTTCAAGCGGGGCTAACTGTGAAGAACGCCCAGTACGCCACGATAGGGTCCGGCTTCATTAACGTGTGTACGGCTGTGCTGATGCTCAAGCTGATGCCGAAGTTCGGTCGGCGGCCGCTGTTGCTGGGCTCTATTGCTTCTGCCGTGCTGCTGCTGGCCGCCTTGGCGGTCTGCATGATGTTTATGGTGAGGCTCTGTCGATTTTGTCTATGATTCAGCCTATGTTACTCGCTGATAATGTAGCTTTCTATTGGTGAAATATTTTTTTAAATCGGTTAAGTGATTTAGGCACTAGTGGTAACAAACAAACCAACAAACTTACTTTCAAATTTATAATATCAGTATGGATTTATATAAAGAATGGCAGTGTATATTGACATATCCGTGTGGTGACGGATTAAGAATACAAATTGTCACCACCCCAATTCTTCCTGTGGGTGTCGTAAGAGCCGACTAAGGGAACAAACTAAGCAGGACAACAGCACTGCAAAGAGAAGGAAAACTTGAAACAAACCCTATACCAACCCGTCTGGCCAGGGTGGTATAGTTGGCCAAAACCTCCTTTCTAAGGAGAGGCCTATGTCCAGCAGTGGACTAGTATAGGCTGTTGATGATTGACACAGGTTACCATGGTAAATTCATCAGTTCTGTGCACAAAATATTTTGTTGGTTTTGGTGACGAAATTGATGATGATTTTTTTTTTGCTTCTAGGATGCAGTGTCGTGGATGCCATACGTGTGCATGATAGCGGTGCTCTCATATGTTCTGGTATACGGATTCGGTCTCGGTCCCATACCTTACTTCATCGCCTCTGGTACGTATTATATTACAATTTTGTCTCACATCATCATCATCAACAGCCTTTAATAGTCCACTGCTGGACATAAGCCTCTCCTTAGAAAGTAGGTTTTGGCCTACTATACCACGCTGGCTAGACGGGTTGGTTTAGGGTTTGTGTCTCAAGTTTTCCTTCTCTCTGCAGTGCTGTTGTTCTGCGTAGTTTTAAAGTTAAAGTTTTTTTTTAGTTTTTTCTTCGTCTTACATGTGTATTCTTTTTATGATAATCGGATCGCATAAAATACCCTTTCATACATAACATACTTATATGTAGATGTAAATGAACAAGAACGATATAATACAATCAAATTCAGATCAAAGCAATACATATGATACAATATTCTCAGTTGGCTGTTGGCAATTTACTGCAAAAACTCTACAGCAAAACATGTGGTTAGTGTGTTCGAGCAGATGGGTCACTTGATGGTACGTGACCACCCCCGGCCATGATCACCTGCTATTAAAGAGTCATAAGTGCGCTGCCGACCTTTGAAACCCACTCCGGGGGGAGTCGTAAAGAATAGCTTAACTCCGGTTGTCTGTGAGGCTGTCGTATCACTCCGGTCGAGCTTGGCCCATTTGTGACGAAGTATGGCTATTTGTTTCGTTAACGAAGTTTAGTAAAATATTATTTTTAACCGACTTCAAAAAGGAGGAGGTTGTCAATTCAGATGTTTACATTTTTTTTTAATTTATGATATCACTCCGTCATATATGTTTAGACGGATTTTCATTCAAAAAGGGTTTATTCCAAAATGGTCCCTTTTAATTTCATACGCTGGGAGCTGATGATGAGTTTCGGAGACAGACAACGAAACTCCTCAAAAAAATGGAAGCAAATCAACCACGTTTTTTGTGGTTTTTGTTGGAAGTCGGTTCAACTTTTTTTAAAGGGATTTTTTTATCTACTCTACAGAGATATTCGAAGTAGGTCCCCGTCCAGCGGGTATGGCGTGGGGCTCGCTCGCCAACTGGGGAGGAAACTTCCTGGTGGGGATGTCCTTCCCGTCGATGAGGGAAGCGATAGGCCCTTACTCCTTTCTCATATTTTCTGGTGTCACTGCTGCTCTATTTGTCTTCCAAAAGTAAGTAAAGTATTTTTAATACATCCATAATCATCATCAACAGCCTATAATAGCCCACTGCTGGACATAGGCCTCTCCTGACAAAGGAGGTTATGGCCTACTATACCACGCTGGTCAGAAGGCTCTTATGACACCCACAAGATGAATAGGGGTGGTGTACAGGAACAGTATTCTTTAATACATAAATAATGATATTTGTCTAGCATCAATCATCAACAGCCTTTAACAGTCCACTGCTGGACATAGGCCTCTCCTTAGAAAGGAGGTTTTGGCCTACTATACCACGCTGGTCAGAAGGCTCTTATGACACCCACAAGATGAATAGGGGTGGTGTACAGGAACAGTATTCTTTAATACATAAATAATGATATTTGTCTAGCATCAATCATCAACAGCCTTTAACAGTCCACTGCTGGACATAGGCCTCTCCTTAGAAAGGAGGTTTTGGCCTACTATACCACGCTGGTCAGAAGGCTCTTATGACACCCACAAGATGAATAGGGGTGGTGTACAGGAACAGTATTCTTTAATACATAAATAATGATATTTGTCTAGCATACTAAGTAATATGTTAAAATAAAATTACCCAATGCGAATTGTGTACAATCTTCCTACTGTGTACTGTCATTTATAACCTTGTTATTATATTAAATAGAGCGAACTTTTTTAATGATATAGTGGCAAACAAGCAGATTGGCAACATGGACACTTGCATTTCAAGAGACACAAGTGAGTTGTCGCTCTAAAAGTGAGCCCCCTCCTCAGAAATTGGGGAAGAGATGAATGCTTCACACAGGTTCTCTGTGAAGCTTCTATGTGGTATCACTCAAGTAGAGCTGGTCCTTATGTACGCCCAAAATTCCGCCACAGCCACGGCATTGTCCGTTGCTCTCCACAGTACAGCTGGAGTGGCACAGCGGACAAGAAAGCAAATGTGGCGTAGTTTGCATTGGAGAGCGACATTCACATTGCAACTGGTCTATGTATCCCCAATTTGCCATGTTGCTCTTGCAATGACCAACCTGCCATGTTGGCCATTGTAGTCGGTGTCTAGATAGCAGGTTTTCTGAAGGTTTAATGAAACCTGCTGGGACAGGATGTTTAGCTGCCCACATTTGCTCTCTTGTCCGTTGTGGAGGAATACTATTCTATACCATCTATATCTATACTATGTGGAGGATCTCAGAAAGATTCTTCGGCTTTGACTCCTAGGATGTCATGACTGAACTGACACGAAAAGTAATCTTACCAAAAAATCTTGATTTCCAGAATATACTTCCCAGAAACCCGCGGCAAAACTCCTGCGCAGGTGACCCAGCTGTGCAGTCGTGGTTTTCAGTCGAGACCCCACAGCTCCCCCCATATCTTCGACGCTGTGTCCGTATGACTGTGTTCTGAATATAATTGTGTGTTGCTACGATCTAGTTCATTGGGAAAGCACGACGTTCAAGTATTGAGGTGATAGTAGACAGTGTTATACAAATAATGTTTTTAATATAATATAAAATAATGTTTTAATACAAATAAATAGGGTAGTGTTTACATCAAGCTCGAGTCATGAAAAGAATTAGTAAGATCAGGTTAGAGCCACTTCTCATCATGATAGGTATTAACCTACAAGTACATAAAGAGTGTACTCCTTCCTAAAAGGCCGGCAACGCGTTTGTGACTCCTGAGTTGCAGACGTTCATGGGCGGTTCAGGTGAACCGTCTGCCCCCTCCCTTTAACATAAAAAAAAAACATACATGGCTCCATCCGCGCACCAGATTAATTCAGTGGGTGGATGGCAGTCGTTCGCAAAACACGTCACACACGCGTCGCATCGGTCGATAGGTACTTTTACCTAAAATTAAAGTAAAAGCATATGGCGTTTTATTCGGCTGTTTAAATGATAATAAGAAAACTCGAATCTCACATTTTTTACACTTTCAAAGGATATCGAAAATCTCTACCGTAATAAACATTATTTGTATAATTTCATCATCTACCCTACTTAGAATTTTATTTTGTGTCGGCGTTTTATTTTATAATAATCTCTTTATTTTATACAAAATTGAATCTTTAATATCTGAAATTAGAATAGCTTTACGTTCGTCATTCGAATGAACTCGATTCGAAGCAACAATAATTCACTTAACTATGAGTAGTTAACTAAATGTTTGCTCAAATGGTATTAAAAGACAATGCGAAAAATCTAAAAAATCTAGAAATTTGATATGACTTAAAATATTATACTAATAAATAAGGTTATAATCAGATGAGCGGTTCAGAAATGTTTTATACAAACAAAAAAGAACAAAAATTTATTTATAAGTTTTTATCACACGGTGATTTGCTTTTATCTAAGAGTTGGTATCTAATCTCAAACTGACTTTAATATGTTTCTCGCAATTAGACTATGTTGTGTTGAATTGATGAATAATCCACAACTGGCCACAACTAAAGCATAGATGCTAAACTATCAAAACGATTGCTATTTATCTAGAAACACATTTTTATTATAATAATTAGATATTCTCATCACACTTACGTACATGAGTTTTTACGAAATATGGTGGGGAATGGATTTAGACAGTTAATTAAAAAAAAAATTCAAATTGAAACAATTATCATTGTAATATCACAATGTTAAATATTTCATGTTTTATTTTATTTTTATGTGTGTTTATTATTTCACATTGTATTACAAACATCACAAGCTAATAAACAAACTCTGAAAATGGATGTAAAAGTGATTGTAACCTACTGTTAAGATTATCCAGAATAAATCGTCTCATTTACTGTTCTAACTAGTAAATCCTCATTGTAGTACAGAAATAAAATCTTTGTACTCCTTTCTAAACAAAAATGGCGCATCATTCTTTGAAAACTTAATGTTCAAAAAGTGCAGGATTTAAATATTTGCTGTAAAATAAAAGCACATGTAAAACCAGAGACAAAACTATAAGGGTTCAGTATACATTTTGACCTGACATAGTATAAACAATAGCAGTAGAAGTTATGGGTACTGGTTAATGAAATAAAGCAAGATATTCAAAATGGTGGAAAATATATCGCCAATGTCTACCATACATACGAAAGATTTAACTTCATCTTTTATCCTAAAATGTACTGTTTACGATGCATATCCGAATTAATTGACGTTTGCTTACTGCTGTTTGCTTGGTGAAATTAAATGTAATCTCTTGGTGACGTGGCTGTAATCACATTTATCATTTACTAGCTATTGCTAGTTCGATCGCATGATTATTTCTAGTTCTAACTTTGAAAATAACGAACTTCCGTACAACCGTTCATCCTTTATTCTGCCCCCTTAGGGGAGAAATTAAAAAAAAATGCTTTCTTAGTGGGTGCTTAAAACATGCCAAAATTTCAAGTTTGTAGGCCGAGTGGTTTAGGCTCTGCCTTGATGAATGATGAATTTTATATCCATAGATTGTTCAATTTGCCCATTTTTACTTAAAATATTACATACATGAGTGTGCTGTGTTTAATAGAATTTTATTTATACGTAATTTAATATTTTACATTAGTGTTAAGTAAACCGCGGTTCTTTGACTACTCTTTAAGACTTCATATACGAAGAATGTACCTATTATATTAGGGAAGGGGATATCTCTAGTTATTCTTGTATTTCAAGATATGTTTGTAAGAACGGGCGAGAGTTTAATGGACCGTTTCATGGTTAGCACTAATTGCCTTTTAAAGTTATTTATACAAGTTGTAGAATAAGTCAGGGAATATATATATGTAACGTATATTATACACTGGTCACGCGAAATTTACTTCCAGCCAATAGGAATAAAAAAAGGTACTTAAATATTGTATATATTTACGATACATTGGGTGAAGTTTAATTTATTTAAGCCACGTGATCAGCTGCCAATACGATACTCTATTCTATTGATTTTTCTTTTCCAAAGGCTTCTAACGCATGAGTTAAAATTATGCTAATTTTCTTTAAGTTGATTTTTTTTGCGTCATAGACAAAATTACCCAAAAATATATAGACAGGTGAGTTAACACCACTCAAGAACGGCTGAACCGATTTTTATGATGTTTTTTTTGGATTTGTCTCGATTTGAAAAAAAACAAAATGCAGAAAATTCATTTTCTTGTACATTGAGTATAAAACCTAACACAGATAAAGAACACAACTATAAAAAAAGGCAAGTGAAACTGTGTGGAACTAATCCATCGGTAAACAGGTCACGTGGTTAAAAAAAATTTAATATCTAAAAATTCACCCACATTATGACGGCGTATATACAGACAATTATAAGTACAAAACAATTATATATTATTATGAGCTCTTAGGGTTCCGTGGGCCTGCCCTGCTCGTTGTATTAATAGGTATTATAGTTATAAAGATTTGCTAAGAAAATCTCGAAGTGCCTATCAATTAAAATGTATGTAATATATATAGCAATGGCTTTTGAAAAGTAATAAACATTATCACAGCTATTCATTTCCTTTTGTAGTGTTTCATCTCTTTAATATATCAAATGATATCACTTTTTTGTATTTATTGACAGATTCTTTTAACGGGGATACATTGTGTTCAAATTATATTATAAGGTGCTAATATATTAAACCGGCACATACTCTCAGAGTGTACTAGACAATCTGATAATCAAATTAGGCGTTATATTACCAAGGATAGTGATAGTTACCAATATTGGATGCGAAGTTTGTATTGGAATTCAATGTTGGTGGCCAAAGGTATTTCATCCGAATATTTTTCTCCTGACAACAACCAGCCGAGTGAGTTTTTTATAAAAAAATCACATCAACTCCCTTAGACTTAGTATGGTGGTTTTAGGATATTACACTTAAATGTTGAATGGCCTGTGAATCTAGTGGCCGACGATCCTGACTGCTTAGTCAGCCTAACATAAGTATGTTTATCAACAGTCTGGTTACTATATTTAGGAGGATCACGGCCTCATTTCAAGTTATATATAATATACATTTTACATAATTTGTTTACTAATCTAAGGTTTTATTTGCACGGAACCCACATTTAAAAGAAGCCTTTTTATAAGTATCTAAGTATTTTAGGATGGCACAAATATTGTACTTAATTGAAGTTCTAAGTATGTTTAATTGACGTCCGTTTTTTCGCCTGTAATTTTATGTTAAATTTAATGGGTTCACAGATTTTTACTGAACATCACACTAGTGCATAATTTATGTTTTATTCAAGACACGTTTTATTATTTAATTATTGTAAGGAATTGTAAGGAGAATGAATTGTAACTCCAATCGGTTTGTGCGCATTTTTTATAGCGTGTTATATATAATAAAATATTGAAGATTTTTTGTCTCTTATTTCACATCGATTACCCGAGAATGTAACGAGAGTTGTGTGTGTACAGAATGATTACATCATCATCATCATCAACAGCCTTTACTAGGCCACTGCTGGACATAGGCCTCTCCTCAGAAAGGAGGTTTTGGCCTACTATACCACGCTGGCCAGACGGGTTGGTATAGGGTTTGTGTCAAGTTTTCCTTCTCTCTGCAGTGCTGTTGTCCTGCGTAATTTGCTCCCTTTGTCGACTCTTACGACACCCACGGGATGAATTGGTGGTGACACTCCGTATTCCGTATTAATGATTACATAAATGGACATATTTCTTTGCAGAAGTCGTATGGAAATAAATTTCAAAAAGTATGTCCTCAAGATGGCGTAGGTACTGTCATCTAAAAAGCCGGCAACGCACTTGAGACTTGAAGCCATGGACTTTTAAATAATCAGGCGACTCGTCTTTCGTTTGCCCCATATATTAATAAAAAAATATATCTTCCAGTAGTTATTTTTTATGGAAGAGCAAACGTATCACCTGATGGACAGCAACTACCGCCGCCCATGAACACCTGTAAGTAGGAGTTACAAGCGCGTTGCCAGCCTTTGAGCAAGGAGTACGCTCTTTTCTTGAAGCTTTGAAGGTCGTATCGGTCCGGGAAAACCGCAGACGATAATTTGTTCCATGGATTGCTTGAATATAGCTAGTGGTCAAAATTATTATGTATGTGTATACATTTTAATGAAATACAAACCGCTTTAGTAAGAGTTACAGTTTTTGTAGTAATATTACCATATTTTAAACTTCTCCCAATTTACAAATTAGATTTTATTTTAAATAGCTCGTGCCCACGACTTCGTTCGCGTAGAATTTGAAAAGCGCTGCCTTAGTGAGTTCGATTCCCGGACCAGGCAAAATTTATAGGGATTTTCTGAGAGAAAAATAGCCTAAGTTACTCCTTATATAGACAACTACTTGGTAGTTAAATATTATAAAAATCGGTCTAGCCGTTTTGAAGATTACCAGGAAGAAACAGACATACAGACAAAAAATATTTAAACTGGTTTTTAGGCATAGTTATAGTGCAAATACCCGTGTAAGTATGAAAAAACTTATTATTTTGACATTACAAACAGACACTTCAATTTTATTTATTTGTATAGACGTATAGATAAAATTATCAAATCAGCAAGTCTCAATTTCACTATTTGATTTTGTAAATTTTATGTTTCTATGTTACATTGACGAAAATAATGAATTTGGAAATTGTTTAAAAATAAAACAAAGAATTTTATTAACAAAAATATATTCGGACATAATGATAACAATAATTAAAAATGACAGGATATAATAAAGTTCGAATTCATAATTTTTTTTTTATTTAGAAAATAACAATTCACCTATTGATATTTTGCAAATATAGCAAATATTTTATAACACGCAGCTCAAAATAATAATATTCAAAATTGCCTTAAAAATGTTAGTCAATAATATACATTTAAGTTAATTCATATTATTGCGACCATTCATACTTATTGCGACCTATGCTTATTAATCCTATATGATTCACGTACCCATTTAAAAATATTTATTCATAATGAAAAAAACATATTGCTCTATAAATATATGTACGAGTACATATTATATTGTCTGCATAATCTTCATCACAGCCTTAATAATTTAATAGTATATAACATAGAGATAGTGGTGGATGGGAAGGAGTATTGCTTATACGGATTGGGGGGTGTGAGCAGATTGAGAAGGTCTCGGTTGAAATGTCCCAGCACTCTATTAAAAATATAGGGAACTTCCCTATATCAGTCGCAGACTTCTAGACTTAAAAGAGCGTCTTTAGGTCGCAAAATCTAGTAAATTAATACCACAAACTAAAGTAATCGAATCAGTAAATGAACAATTATCAATACACTCAGATCCTCACCAGCATTCGTGTACTTTAAGCGATCAAGATGACAATTTAAATTTTAATAAAAACGTAGCTATCTTGTCGGGCCTGTTGGACTAGTGGTTAGTGACCCTGACTGCTAAGCCGTAGGTCGTGGTTCTATTCTCACCCAGGACAAATAATTGTGTTATAAGCATGATCAATTGTTCTGTCTGGATGTAATTTACTTATACATGTATGGTATGTATTTAGAAATGTATAAGTATGTTTATCAGCAGTCTGGTTACCATAGCACAGGCTCTGCTTAGTTTGGAATCAGACTACCGTGTGTGAGATGTGTGAATTTATTATTATTATTTTCATCTTCTAAGATATTCTTCTATAATCTTGAGTTGGTCCCAACAGACTAGGAGCATAACGGTGTGGGGTCCAAGACGTAAATAGTTGGCTTGAACCCCTTTATAAAAGGACTTTGCACCTTCCTGTCTCAGCATTTTGACAAAACAGTCTAACATACCGTGGTAGAGTTTGCCTCGGTTTTGTGCGTCCACCGCTGGAAATAAAAACATATTATATTATAGAATAATTAGTTGTTTGTCCGTGTGTTTTAGGGCTACTCGAATAGTTTTAGTTACACATACTACACTACCTACAAGGGCCCTTTGACACGGAGCGAAGCCACCATCAGCTGTCCTTTTGTACCCGAACTAATCTATTCTACACATATATTCTTAGTTTCTTTTTTTTTTAAAGACATCTCCCGCACTAAGAATTTATCCTGTGTCGCGGGGGACTTTACATACTTGAAACGAACACAAAGCACACCCAGACTCAGGACAAGAATTTGTGGATCACACAAATTGATGTCCCATGTGGGGATCGAACCCACAATACTTACCGCAGTAGAAAGAGGCGAGGTAACCGATTAAACCGCTACGCTATCTGTGCAGTCAGTTGACTCCAGAATTTTATAAACCTTTAATAAATAGGTTACTTATATTTTTCGTCAACATGCTTAATATACCACACAACTGAACATGTATCTACTTATTTCCGTTTAATTTCATTGTTAGTTCTATACCTATATAGTAATATTATGGTTACCAGAAATCACATTTGGATATTACAATCGGCACTTCTTTTAAAGACTTCAGTTGATCTACAAAAAATTAGAAGATTAGAATAGTAGTAAAATAATAAATAATTTAAAATTAAAAACAAAACTACAATAATGTTATAAAGTCTACTTTACAAATTACTTGAAAGTGAAGAAACAAATATTTGAATTAGCTGAAATAATTAAAGCAATAATTAACACTATTAAGACCACAGGACTACAATAAACGAAGGTGTAAGATGACACTCCCGCGGTGGGCATAATTTCGTGAAAGGGACGAAAGTGTGTAACATGAAGCCAGAGAAACGCGCGCAGTTTGATTTGACCAATGAGCATGCGCAGTGCTGGATGTGACTGCCAGATGGTAGATTGACACTTCATATGTAGACTACTACTGACTACTAAAGTCAATCTAATCTAAGAGGTACCGTTTAACAGTTCTGACAGATTGAAGATTAAGGGGGACTAAGAAATCGATTATTACAATTTCCGATTATTAAAAGATATCGATACCATTTCTTTGTATTTACAATTCGATTACAGTTTTAAAGATTTATGTATGTTACTGTAATAGCTTAAATAGAAATACCTTCATAATTCCATGGTTTTACGCAAAAGTTTATTATAATTGTGTGAGTTGTTTTAGTTATTTTGTGTGTATTTCCATCAGGTGACCCGTCTGCTCGTCTGCCCCCTCTAACATAAAAAAAAAAGTTACGCCAATACAAAGTTGTTTCGGCTTGAAAAGTATGAAACGTCCAACGCTACCTGTTCATAGAGATCTTATAATAATTATAAGGTCTTTGTACTTGTTAGATTAGATGGACTACAGCTCATTTTGTTTTAAATTTATAAAGTTGTAGGAATATAAAAAAAAATCCTATTAACCGAAAAAAGACTTTACACTCAATTATATTCATCTAACATCAAATAAATAAAAAAGCGTTTTTGCTTGACCAGGACATAGAACACAATTATGTTACTTTAACGTCAAAAGCTTGAAACGTCAAATATATGTCATCATTACTAATTGCTGTCAGAGTATAAGTAAGGATTATTTATATTAGTATTTGAGATTTTAATGTTTTGAAATGCCTAAAAATATTTATAATCTTGTGAGGGAAATAGTAGTAATGTTAGTAATGTATTTACATATTTGTCGGTAAGACAACGGGGCGCCGGCGGTGATCCCTTTTGATCGGAGCACACTTTCAATGAAGTAATTCAATTCGTAAAATTTACTACATTATAATAAGAATAATGTAACAAATTTTAATCGAAATAATTTAAAAGGCGCATTTTGACAGTTGACGTTTATGGCTGAGTGTCTACGGAGCCATAGTAAGAATAATCTGTATGGTTCTGGACAATGTCAAAAATAAAACACCAGATTTTTTTTATGTCAAATCTAAGCTATCTAATATTCTTGATGTTAAGGGCGATGTTGCTTATTTCATAGTTTCTCTGGGTTAATATCAATTTATAAAAAAATGTTTATAACATCATTCTAGAAAAATATACGAGATCAATAAGACTAGAAGCGCAAAATTTATAAGTATCTTACTTTCAAAACATTTTGAAATAAAAGTTACGATTTATTTTATTTGCTGTGTTCAGTTCCGTAAATTTAAACGAAAAGTATAAAATAATGTGGAAAGAAAGAACAAAAAAATAACTATTTAATTATAATGAAGACGATTTTTGGTTAGCAAGTCCCTTGATAATATACGATTAATAAAATAAATAGATTAATCTTTACCTCCGCAACGATTACAATGTAACAACACTAAAATAAACATCGTAGAACGTAACTGTTTTAGGACAGAAAGAAATAGATATAAATTGTTGAAGTAAAGAAATACGCGACATTTAAATTATTTGTAGAAGTTTAAGCTCAAATATGTCCCATAACATTCATTCAACTCAGTAGTATAAATAATTACTTACTAAAAAATATTTTTGACTTAAAGTAGAATTGTTTTAGGTTTGGTTAAGTTTCACCTGTCAAAATGCACTTCTTATATTATTTTTACTATAATAAAAGCTTCCGAGATTTGTCATAAGTATTTCATAAAAAAAGTTATAGACAACCAATAAAATTAGAATGATAAAATCGATAAACTTTTCTATTTAACTTTATTACTAATCATTTTTGTCCATAATACATAATTATAATAATAATTAAAGTCTTTGTAAAATACTAAATCTACAATGATATAACTATTTGGCACTAAAAAAAAACAGATTTGTGTCAAATAACACACACCCATATTATTATTGTTCTACCTATTTAATTTTACAGTTTCGCACCAGAGGAGATACCGTCAATATTTTCTTGTACATTATACAATTGTGGTGACAATAATTGTTAGTAGTTTTGCAAAACTGTGTTAATTTATTTGATGTTTTGTTTAAAACAGTTATTCTATGTGCCTTTTAAACATAACTACTAGGACTAGGAACAAACGCTACAAGATCTAGAAATAAAACTAAACACTAGAAAAATTAGAGCGCATCAAATCTTCAGACTGATGGGGAGAACGACAAATACATAATAACGGTGAAGAATGTGGAGATAGGTTCATCATAGAAGTAATCCTCTGTCGCATATTGTAAGAGTATGTCTTTAGACCAGCTTTACGATAGCACGACTAATCTAATTGTTTAAAACTGATTTATATCGTTTAGCAGTCAAGTTTCGGCAAGCAAAATGGCGACTGCTAAATATGCCATCTTTAAAGTTAGTAACACTGAAATTGTTGTGTCAAAATTGACAAATTGATATTTTACCGCGCGGAAATAAATCGACATCGTATCGCATCAAATTACAGCATTTTTTTCACGTGAATTTTTTCTTCCAGTGCGGATAGTCCTACTAAGATCCCATGTGTCACAGAACTTTGCGAACATTGCGAACAAAAAACGCGGTGAAATATCGCTAGGCGGACGGCCCTTAAATTAATTAATACTAATGTAATGTATGAATAAACGCTGCATTTAAAAAACTAGATTTCTAAAAGGAAATTCGTTTTCATTAATAGACTGCTTTCGATCAATTCTAGTCACATCACCTAATCCCTGACTGTTTTTGTCATTTTTATTTTAAAACATTGTCGCTTGTTTTAATATACTAAAAAAATACTGTATTCTGTGTAATATGAAAACAATTATAATACAAGAGTTAAATATATTTACATAGTGCTTAAAATAAATAGAAACAAAACCAAAAATATCTTCAATCTAAAGATCTTGTATGGAGCAAAGAACGTTCTCGGCGCCGATTAGTTCAAAAACCACCGAATCTCTTACATCAAATATACTCGTATTACCATAAAAATATCTATTGCCTGGTACTTCTAATATGATCCTCTAACATCTTGAGCGCATCCCAGCAGACTAACACCAGGACACTTTGGGGTCCTAACCGGGCGTAGTTGGCCCCTACTCCTTTATAAAAAGAAAGTATACCTTCGTGCCGGAATAGCTTCATAGCGCAATCTATCATTCCACTGTACAGCTTGCCTGTGTGTTGAGAGTCAAGTGCTGGAAATCGAGAGCTATTGTTGACGAGATGCAGCGTGTCCAAAGAAATATTTATAGGTACAACAAACTAGTATAAGCAGACCTGTCAGCAATATAGAGGTAACTACTAATAACAGTTCAATTAGAATTTGTTTTTGTAAATATGATTTAACGCATTTAGCTTTGCCTGTATAATTCTAAATCCGAGAGTTAGAGATATGAGGAAATTGTGTTAGGGACCGGCTATAATTCAGATAAATTGTTGTTAAAAATACTAAAATTAATAAAAAATATGGTTCTCTACTCGATTCTTGATGGATTCACAAGAAATTTAACTTTTTCTGTTGCATTACCATGACAAATAAATGTAAATGCACTGAAAGAAAATGTTGTTGAAACACAGAAGTCTATATTTTGTGTTAAAATTAATAATAGTTTTAAAAGAAATTGACGTTTTTAATATTTGTTAAGACTTACGTTGGTTTGAGAGTCTCGTTGCTATTACATCGAAGGGGTTTAAACAAAAGGTCATGACTACACCTCCAAGGTTGGCGCCAAAGAAGGACAACATCAGGGGGCTGTTCACGAACCAGTTCTTTTCCAGCAACCACTGCTTTGCGTACGTGAAGCTTAGGATCTGAGAGGCAGAGCCAGCCGCTCCACGTGGTATTTGAGGATGCACACCGCGAAATAAACCTGGAACGATAGCAAATAGTTTACTTTAATTAACTTTTTAATTTATTATTTACTTGCTTTTCACTGTTTTCTTCTTTCGGAAACTATTAGTTTAGGTATTTGTTTTTGGATAAAAGATATTGGTGCTAATTTTGTTGTTCGAAAACTCTAAACTAAACTAAAAATCACTAAAAATTTGTTTGAAAGGACCAAACAAATTTTTGGTGATTTTCAGTTTAGTTTACAGAGTTTTCGAACAGAAGAATGAGCACTATTGTCCTTTTCGGCATTCTAGACCAAATGTATGCATGCAAATTTTATCATAATCGGTTGAGTATAAACAAAGAAGCCTTCTTGGATTTCTTGGGTTCGATTCCCGGGTCGAACCATATTATTATTGTTATAATTCAGAAAAGCTATAGAACAATTGTTTAGCACCGGTTTTTTGTAAAGTCGGTTCTGGCCGAGGCTGGCCCGTTTGTGCTCAAGTTTTTCCAGGGTTGAGGACAAACGATAAATAATTTACTTTGCACATACGTTTGTTCTAGTTGGTGCTAGCATTTAAAATAACTTATTATTTTAATATAGCTTTGAGAAAGACGCTAAAGCAAACTACAGCAGGACGCTAGTTTGAACTGATCAGTTACGACACCCAGTAGGCTAGATAAGTTGACAATCATGAGGCGCGATTCCTTTCCAGGAAAAGTAAAATTAATTTCTTAATTTTAAATGATTGTTATCTCAGACGTCTGCAATTTAAGAACCGATATGTAAAATACTTTCGTGTGGTGACGGATTAAGGACAAGGATTATCACCACCCCTAATTATGCCGTGGGTGTCGTAAGAGCCGACTAAGGGAAACTACGCAGGACAACTTGGAACAAACCCTATACGAACCCGTCATACCAACGTAGTATAGTAGGCCAAAACCTTCTTTCTAAGGAGAGGCCTATGTCCAACAGTGGATTAGTAAAGGCTGCTGATATAATGTGATGATTTACAGGAACCTCCGCGAACATACCAGACGCACTACAGCGCCATGACAGTTCCAACAGCAAAGCAAATTAATATTATTATCATATTTTTGGGCGCTTACCCTTAATCCCTTCTTTTGAGTAGATATCTGCCAACGCATTGAACGTCCCAGAATGGCCATGTTGATGTCCAACAGCTATAGCCTTGGCGCCGCGTGACTGGAGCCTGGTCTTCACCAGGTAGAAAGGGGTACCGGCTATAGAGCCTAGGGCTCCACCTATCCCGGCTACTACAGCGCCCCTGTACAAGGACATGCGGCCTTCCTGGTCAAAGAGAAAGCCGCGGCGTTCGGAGATCCGGTAGGAACCTAATCTGGAAGTAGAAGGGTTGATGGACTTGTTGCTCTAGTAGTTAGTGTTACTGAAAGCTGAGCGAAAAGTATTGGGGAAATTTCTAACCAAGGTGAATAAATGTGTGATGAGCACGATCACATTTGTTCTATGTCTGGGTGTCCATACTTATAACCGACCATACTTGTATTATGTTATTATCTATGCGGTCGCCACGCCACGCGGTCCGAGGAACTGAATGTACCATATAAATTAACACAAAGCAGTGGGTCGCGCGACTTTGACGCGGTCGCGGGCGCTGTCGCTAGGAACCGAATGCTACCTTTAAATGTGATTGTGAGTTTGTTTGTTTGTTTTACTTTTAACAATCTAGTTGCCATAGCTCTGTCTAATTTCAGGCCGTGTGAATAATGTCAAGTTATTATTATTTTGACATATGAAATATTTTAAAATGACAGGCGTTGCTAAATTTTAGCTTATTATTAATTTTGTGTTTGAGAGTTATACCTCAAATTACAGGTAATTCAAGATAATAAATAATTAAATAAAAGAAAGTGTGATGTCTTGTTCTATTAAAATTAGAGGGCGGGTTAGGCTCAGGGAAATTTTCAAGTAATTTAAATTATTCGGATCATTGCTCCCCAGTGTATTTAATGAAGTCTGAAGATAATGGGACGTTCATGGGCGGCGATGGTCACTTTCCATCAGGTGACCCGTCTGCACGTCTGCCCCCTCTGACATTAAAAAAATGTTCTTCCAGTTGTATCTATTGAAAGAAAACGTTTGAAACAAGTACAATAAACTATAAAATAAAAACGAACTAGTTAGAAGCAGAGACGTAATTGAACAAATTAATTCGATTTAAGATATAATTACATTTTGCCTCCTTAATGAAGTTATTATTATTACCTGAAAACATTTAAAAAGAACTGAAAACCCAGCATGGCCGGTAGTCCATTCTGCAAGGCAGCAAGACCTTCAGTGCGGGCAATGACAAATATACCATGGGGCACATTCTTGTAGAACACTGCGTGCTGTCCCTTAGCTTTAAGCTCTCCTTGTAACTGCAATCTAGTTTTAACCACTTCTATGGGGTTGGTGAAAAGTGTGGCAAACATGGCAGATACACCACCCATCCCCATGTCTATTAAATCCCGACGGAAGCACGACCATCTTTTATAGACTGTTTGAAATTTCATTGTCTGCAAAGATATGTATGATTTAATTTAGTTAATTGCAACTTTAGTTATGTAACCTTAAATAATATTAAAATAGTATTAAGTGCAATTTGTTAAAGGATATTTGGATAAATAAATATTTATTATTATTATTAGTTACCCCCACCGTTATAAGTTTAACATAGACCTGTCTCAGGATCATGGCTCCTTAAAGAATTGAACAAGTTTGATTTTTTCGTTTTGAAAGGTGGCTTGTTAGAATGTTCTCAGAATATAGTGTGAGAAAATGAGTTTAGATTTTGAAAGATCAGGATTTTTTAAGCATTGGTTCTAATTGAGGTATTTTAAATTTTCAATTCATCCGCGTTTTGTTTTTCTTCGTGTCCATGATGATGATGATGACATAAATACGTTTATATCTCTTTTAGTATAAATGGTACCTGTTAGGTGCTTTTTTGTGAAGTAAATTTGACTAGAAATGGTACTTATTTGACTTTACACAAACTACAGTTAGTCCTTATTTATACTGTCTTTTTTTATACCACGTAGGTGGCAAACAAGGACACGGGCAGCCTTATGGGGCCCTTTATAAACCTAAACACTATTTTCTAGGTTCACACTGGGGATGAAATGAAAATACTATGTTCTCAAACGGAATTTATTGCTCTTAATAGGTCTCAATGTGTTAAGAAAGGTCACCCCTCCATAGACTGACCTGGTTAGGATTGCTTAAAGTCGGTTACCACTTAGGGACGAGCCCCTCTACCGAGTCTGATCATACATACATATGCATATTATTGTTTTGCAACAGCAATTGAGGTTCTAGTAGCAGCACTAATTTTTTTGACGTTTGAATAGAATCAGTTAAAGTACCAAAGGATTGTCGGTATTTATATTTTTTGCAAACCTTAGTAACATGGGTAATATATTTATTTACACTTTATGCACAAAGGCGACTTAATGCCGAAACATATAATTAAACATATAATAAACATATTTAATTACTTAAACATATAATATGCACACATTGGAATTAAAAAAAATAAAACAAGTTTTCAAATAAAACAGTTTATTAACAAAACATATTTATCCAGGCTAATTACTGCCTGTAAGCACCAAAAGTGAAGAAGACAGCTACACGCTATCTTCTATGTAAATACATAAGTCAAATTTTATTGATATTACAAACATACATGCATGTTTTAAAATATTAAAATTCATTTATTTAAAATGGCGTCAAAACGTCAACAATTCATCATCATCATCATCAACAGCCTTTAATAGTCCACTGCTGGACATAGGCCTCTCCTTATAAAGGAGGTTGTGGCCTACTATACCACGCTGGCCAGACGGGTTGGTATAGGGTTTGTTAGGATAGGATAGGATAGGAGCGGGCTGGCGCTAGGAGGGGTCCGGATGTCTTAACAACAGCTGTTCCCGGATCCCTCCTGTTACAGGCGCAGAGTGGCACACCGTGTGGTTTTAGTCGGTCCGAGTCCGACACACCACCCCGCCGCAAACCCCGGAGAGGTGACGGTCCGAGGGGATTTCCACACGTTAAAAAAAAAAAAAAAAAAGGGTTTGTTTCAAGTTTTCCTTCTCTTTACAGTGCTGTTGTCCTGCGTAGTTTGCTCCCTTAGTCGGCTCGTCAACAATTATAAAGGATTAATTCCCTTCGTTACAAATATTTGTACTAATAAGTTAATCCATATTCTAGAATCCATAACATGAGATATATCTACGAGTCTAGACAGTCCTGTGTTATACTCGTATGTACAAGAATATTTTTTTGAATTTTCAAGTCGAAAATATTAAATCGAATCAATCGAAAATTTTAGAGTTTAAATAGTTAGTCTTTTCACTGGGGGGGCGTTTGTCTGACGGTACCCGTCTTAGATGAGAGGAATCAGTGCCTTTTAAGTTAGCAAGCGGAACACCGGGGTGGTTTATGATCGGTAACAGTCCCACAGAACCCTTCGTCCCCTCCTAGAGCGGAGGATATCCATGGGGATCTTTCGCCCTCTCAAATACAAAAGAAGATATTTGTCGGTCACTGATAGCTCTTAAGTGTAGAAATGTTGATCGATTATGTCTTACGAAGTTACAAAATTATTCTGTCCCCTATTCGCTCAACATGACCATTGTAGTTTGTGTGAGTGATTACATCGACTTTAGCTTGATTAAAAATAAAATTAAGATTTAAATTTACTAATTAATTACATATTGGCTTATTGGTGAGAATTACATGAGGTATATTGCACAATAATTATGAGTAAAAATAAATAACTTGTAGGCGTAGAATCTACAACTACTATGAATAACATACACATAAAAAAAAAAGATCTACAATATTTCACTATCTAAAGTTAAAGACTACTGTTGTCTTAGGAAGCCAAAAGGCAAGAAAGGGTTATTCTAAATACCGTCAGTTCGGGTTACATTGGCTCAAGGATTTGTTTCAAATTATATTCTAAAATTCGTGGATCGAAATTTTATTAGCGTTTATGGCACCGTCTTCATTTTAGAGGGTCCAAGCGTATTGTTAAATAGACTATAACCTCAAAAATTAAGTTCTAATGATTTACGACCGTCAACAAAAATCCATTTAAAAAAAGAACGAAAAGATGTCCAGCTATAATAGCCGGAATAAAATAATATTTTATTTGATTGTTTCCGAACTGAATATAAATTTGTAAACGAAATTAAACAGCAGCGCCACCGTGCGGATATAACTTGCAGCTCTCTGCCCTCGTTTCGACCTCGTAAGATCGATGTTGTAATATTCCAAAGTTAAACTTGTTTTCCGTAAAATAGACGCTATAATAATAAACTAAAATATAATTATAATAATAAACTTAACAAAAAGCTCGCTATCAAACCTAGGTTAAAAGTTGACACGATGATTTCAGCTAAAGTCACACTGCGGCCAATATAATCTAAACCCACGGTACCTAAACTGAATAAAAAGTATTAAATTTTAACTGAAATATTAATCTTATATTAAATTACTTAAGGCACTGAGATTGAACAAATTATTATCTATACTTTTAAAAAGGAAGAATTAACAACGTAACAACAATTAAAAACATTTAATAATTAAAATAAAATAATTTCTTCATTATAATTATTTAGTATAAATAATAACTATGAAAAGAGTAGTTCTTGTTATTTTTATTAATTTAAAATGCTTAGTTACGAGCGTTCAAAGAGAAATAATGAGGATTCTAAGTTATTGATGTGCGGATATTCGATATTAAGACCAATAAGTACAGTCAGCAGCGAAAGTGGTAAAACATCTAAAATAAAAAGTTCAAAATGTGTCCTTATCATATTGGCACTTCAAAATCCTTCAAATCCATTTTTTTAAATTCTGTACTGCTTGTAAGATGTAACCCTTCTTTTTCATTCTTAAATTTAGCTGATACGAACACTGATATTATGAATACGAAAGTGAGTTTATTTGTTATCAGTTTCTATGTACTTAACCGATCAGAATCAGAATCATTTATTTGTAAACATAGGTCAAATTACAATAGAGTGTGAGATGTTATGGATAGAGGCAAGTCCTCTATGTTTTGCCCAGGGGCGTACAAATATACACATTTTTACACATTTTACACATTTTCAAATATACACTTTTTCAAATATCATAAATTTGTAGGATAATTTAAACTTCCACATTATTAATAACGTCAATGATAATAATTAATAATCACATGCATGTCAAAATAAATACAAAATACAGTCAATTTTAATAAATGTCAAACAAATTAATTTAATGTCAATTCAAAATCATTAAATTAGGATAGTCGAGGTATTGTACAATTTTCTGAAGCAGTAATTATAGAATTGTCGTCCAAATAGTCCTTTAGTGAGTAATAGCACTTACTTATCAAGATTTTTAATACTTCTCTTTTAAAATTGGAGTTAGCGTTTTAATTTTTTCAGGTAATTTGTTGAATATTTTGGTGGCCATACAGAAGGTACTTTTATTCATTAGTGCAGTTTTGCCATATGCCACTTGGGGTTCCGACTTATTTTTATCTCGTAGTTTTCTGTAGTAACTTTTAGTTGCTAGTATCATCATACAGATGAGATGTTGGATTTCACGAACATATTTGTTTCGTATATGTACAGAGATGGCTAGGTAAGAATTTTTAGACGTATGAAATACGGTCGACAACTGTCGGTGCTTTTTAGACCACACATAGCTCTGACAGATCTTTTTTGGGCTTTGAATACAAGTTCTTTATCAACTGAATTGCCCCAGTATATTACGCCATATCTCAGTGTTGATGCAGCGTAACCGTGATAGGCCATTAGTACGGATTCTAGGCTTAGTATTTTTGATAGTTTATAAAGAACATAGGCAAATTTATTTAGTTTTTTACATACTTCGTCTGTCTGGGATTTCCAGGTCAAATTATTGTCTATATTAATACCAAGAAATTTAGTAGTAGTATTTGATTCTATTTTTGTCCCTAAATAGCTATTGGTGTCCTTTGATAAAAATGCATAATTTTAGTTTTTTCTAAATTTATAATTAGATTATTATTTGCAAACTATGATATAATTCTATTTAATGTTGTATTTATTTCTTTTTCATAGGTATTGGGATCATCACACACATAAACACAACAAATGTAGAATATTGTTTAAATTATCGAAAAATGTATCCAGATTAGATTGGGGTACCCTATATATACATGCAATAATGATGTTGTGTTCTGTCAATTCTATAGCGCAGCATTCAATTACGTTAATTACAGAATATTTCCCTAAGTTTAACACTTTATACTTGTGACAAACCCTGGTTAAGATGCACGCGCCACCTCTTTTACTATCTCTGGAAAAGCTTGCTGCTAGTCTGTAGTTTGGTACATTTAGAAGTCCTTCCTGTTCAGGTGTCATAAAATGTTCGGTTATGCATATAGTATCGATCCGTTTTTTACTGTTTTCTAATTCTTCTAAGTACACAATAAGCGTGTCACTTTTAGTCAAGAGCCCAGCAATATTTTGATGAAGGATATGTATACTGTTATAAACGAAAAAAGTTGGAGCTTACTTCCTGGCTTGAATAATGTTCGTCATCATTAGGAATCGTTAAAATCTCGCCACATTCTTGTCTGTTGTTAGAATTCATCTGTCTACTTGTCTGACAATATAAGAGTAAATCAATCTTGATATTACTCATTCCGATTCTCGTAGAATTTAGATAAATTGCGACAGGCCTGTTGGTCTAGTGGTTAGTGACTCTGACTGCTAAGCTAAGTGGGTTCGATTCCCGCACAGGACAAACATTGTGTCATTTGTTTATAAAAATATATAAGTATGTTTATCAGCAGTCCGATTACCATAGCACAGGCTCTACCTAGTGTGGGATCAGACGGCTGTGTGTGAGATTTGTGAGGTACGAGGTACGTGATTTAGATAAATTATTATCTTTGGGCTATATTGAGTAAAAAATTAAGATATTATTTTACTAAAATGACACCCATTCGCAGAAAAACAAAATCATAATGGAGGAAAAGCATGTAATTTTCTTTCAAATATTTAGAAAAGGGTTAAATGAACCCTTTTCTAAATATTTGAAAGAAAATTATTCGAAATCTCGAATCAATGTCCTTATAGATATACCCTGATAGATATTTTTTCAATACTTTTTGTTATCTACTGTTATAATTTATTGAGCTTTTTACAAGTTGTCACATAAATATTACAAGTATGTAAACATACATATGTACATGTAAAATAAATAAATGAAAACTAAATGTAGACGTAACATTAATCGATTGGTTCTGCTGACTGTACCCATTAACAGTTAAAAAATAAAAGTTTATGCTAAAACATCAAAGTAAAGTATTGAGTACAATAAAATAATTAATTCTATTTTTAATTAAATGCTATTGATGAGAAATACTATTAGTTATTTCAAATGCTTACATAAAGTAATTGTTTGCTACAATAATACTGTTTTGATTTTGGTATGGATAGGTGCTCAGGTACTACAATGTTACATAACACATAAATAAACATAATAATATTAAATAATAATAAAAAAATAACATAACATAACTAAATATAATTAACGCACGTATGATCACGAACGTAAACAAACAAATATATATCGACCGATCCTTATAATAAAGTTACTTATACAAAATCACTACTTTTCGGGAAAGCGACTTCATAATTGCTCCATACACTGTGTATAGAGAAGTTCATTTGGCATTTAAAAAATTTAAATAATTGAACGACTATATAATTAATAAATTTAATTTCGTTTTGCATTCGCTTTTTCTTTGGTCTCGTATATTTTTCGTTTAAATATTTTATGTTATTTTTTGTTTTTATATTCTTCGTTAACTAACGATGTATGTTTTTAATCACTTTTTTCTTATACGACCGTTACCTTCACTATTATGTATCATGATAATAAAATGGTTGTTCTCACAAGGTCACGATACGCTGTTACAGAATGAACGCCATTATTATCACATTATCTACATTTCCAAACAATTGTGTAATACTACAAGGCCTCACTTAAGTCTACATTTAAGAAAATATCATATGTTTAATTATCGTCGCCTACGAACAAACTGACAGAGAGATTACAAGGAAATAAATGTATCTATAGGATAGCACGTAAACGTTATCTTCTGTACATATGCTTTATTGGGTTAGCAAAATTTGGAGTTGAAATTCCTATTTATTTATTGATAGGAAACTCCACAGCTTTTTTAGATTATACATTCATATTTTATATTAAATTAAATTCTTAGGCCAAATACAGAGTATGTCGGGGCACCAGGGACTTCCTTTCTAGGGTATACCCCGGCTATTAGTACCCGAGACGGCGTGCGGTTTTAGTCGGTTCGAGTCCGACATGCCACCGATAGGTGGTATCCGAGGGGATTGCCGCACGGAAAAAAAAGGCCAAATACAGAGATTCACGACATTCGGGAATGGCAGGCCAATACAGCATATTGAAGATATTAAGTTCAATTAGGCTTGGATGTCAATCTTTGGTATATATATTGGTAATTATTTTAAAACAAAGTACAGTAATATTAAAATCGCAAAAGAATTCATTAATAATTAAAAACTTCGTTCCGACCGGCGGTCCATAGACCCCTATGGAACGCCCGCCCGCCCGCCGGTCGGAACGAAGTTTCTTTCGCTTTTTGGTAGACGTTTGCCATAGTGTCGGGTAAAAGTCTTGTTACATATGTTTCGCTCCCATCCGCTCAGAGCGTGTAACGCGCGATAAAGAACTTCGTTCTAATAATAACTTGTTCGTACAAATTAATTTATCCTGCCTATAATAAAAAGTTTGATAACAAATTATTTGATAAAAAGAAACATGAACTTAAATGAAACCTACTTAATACTAACACCGGTATTATAATACGGTACGGTAAAAAATAAAACGCAATGAGGAAAGCTTACACTATAGTCCATTCGCGTTAAGAAAATAGTGACGAATCGCTCTAGCCCCACCCCTTGACCAATCAGGTCCCAAGCTTTCGTAAGAAACGATAATTTCTAGGAACCTGATTGGTCAGGGGCGGGCGGGCGTTAAAGAACTATAGTCGCATATGAAGTGTAACATCTGTCATCTCATTTACATCTGATGGCCAAATGGCGCGCTTCCCAGACTTCCTGTTACACAATTTCGTCCCTTATCACGATATCACTAGCACAGATTGCGGGCAAGTGAGAAGGAAGATATTACATATCAAATAATTAATATCAATAACCGATGCATTGTTACTCAAAACGAAGTATGAACAAAATATTTGGACTACTTATAAACTAAAAAACAAAAAATTAACATTTATTTTCAATACTTTTTTGCAGATCCTTCAGCATATCCCAGAAGACCAACAAGAGGACTGTGTGAGGAGCTTGTCTTAAATAGGAGGGCCCCATTCCTTTGTAGAAGGCGAGAAGGCCTTCTGACTTCGTAATTTTTCGAGCACAGTCCATCAGACCCGTGTAAAGTAAACCTCGGCCGTTAGCATCGACGGCTGAAAACAGAGCCTTTATCATTAACAGGTTTTAAAGTTAACGGACTTCAAAAAAAAGAAGGGAGTTCCCACATTGACCTCGGAACTTCGTGATTTGAATGAACTGACTTGTTAAATTCTATTTTAAGTCTCATTCAAATTTGAACCTAAAAAAAATAGTGGAAAATCATTCTGTCCCCTAGTCGCTCAACATGTCCATTGTAGTTTGTACCCTAGTGAATACATCGACTTTAGTATGATTAAAAATAAAATTAAGATTTTTCTTTAAATTAACTAGAATCTTTTAATTAATTACATGTTGGCTTAATTAATAACATATAAGTATTGCCAACGAGGTGAGAATTACGTGGGTATATTGAACAAAAAATTGTGAGTAAAAATGAATAAGTTAAAACAACACAAAATTAAGGAATGAAGAATACACAATACAGTTTATTATATTTATCATGATGACGGCGTATTCACGTCGGTAATAATTTAAAAAAGTTAATTATTAAGTAATATTTACTGAACCCTTGGTCGATGGTACAATTGTCGCAAATGTTTGTGTTTTTACAGACGGAAGACCGCCCCTTAGTTCCTTTTAGTAAGGCGCCGTAAACAAAGTAAAAGTACGGGTATGTCGCGTGGCAATCTTAATCAAACTTGTAAGTATAGCGATGGCTCAAAGCAAAAGCAGTTCTCGTCCATAGTGATAAATCACATAACTGCTCTTACTGACCCTGCTCTTAGGAAACGCTCTTATGCTGTACGCGATATTATGGTACTTCGATTTACGAACGAAATGACAATGCCAAATCGGTTCGTTTGCTCAAAAGCTAAAGCCGGTTGCATCATACACACAGATACTGAAGTTAAACATATAACCCTCCTTTTTGTAGAGCTGGTAAAAACTAAATAGCTATAAAAAGAAGTATCTACCTTGATTATACAGCCTAGTCATAATAACGTCCATTGGTGTGAGCCACACGGTTTTTACTAAAGCACCAATGTTACTTGCCAGGAACGTAGACAAATATTTTGATTGTTGAAACATATTGTTGTTATCCATCCATTCTTTGCACCTGCAAGATATATCAAATATATCACATCAACAGCCTTTAATAGTCCACTGCTGGACATAAGCCTCTCCTTAGAAAGGAGGTTTTGGCCTACTATACCACGCTGGCTAGACGGGTTGGTATAGGGTTTGTGTCAAGTTTTCCTTCTCTCTGCAGTGCTGTTGTTCTGCGTAGTTTTTTTTCCTTAGTCGGCTCTTACGAAACTCACGGGATGAATAGGGGTGGTGACACTCTGTATTCTTAATCCGTCATCATCAAATATATACAAATAGATATACACAAATTCATTTAACTCATATTTGCTACAATAGCGAAGCTGACAGCCTATCACTACCTACAGGAATGTGTAACACCTGTTACAGAACCCGTGATGGTTCTGAAAAGAACTATTTGTACTATTCATATTTCCAATAATCTCCAAACAGTGTTGCATCAATCGTTCGTGGCAATTATCAATCAATCAAAATTTTCGTTACGAGTCGTAAGTTTCATGACGCGAGCGCTCCCATCCTATCGCTGCTGGAACCTTTTTGTAGTCTAAAGGGTTTCGCACCGGCGAACGTTCCTTTACTGTTCGGTTAAAAATGTTCGTTGTCAAAGAAAAAGCTATATGAAAATATGCTTAAATCTAAGTTCACATGACCGGTACAATGCTGTCATGTGAATGCTACCACCGCGCGATGAACTTAGCATAACTGATTTCGAAATGACAGCTAAGTAACACGACATGTTTGACTTGCACAATAATGTAAAAGATTCTTTAAAGTTCCACCAAACAGTAAAGAATTCGGCGTTACTGTTTGATGAACACGGATAACGATCTTTTTCCCTCCGATATCGGCGGTAGCAGTAGTGATGTACGGAACTGTAGCTGTACATGAGATTTTAAAGTATACTTACACAGCAAACGATGCAATCTGAGATGCCGATCCAATTGAGTTTCTGAGCATCATTCCATGGGCCCCACGCCATAAGCCAGTTAGACCATTATTACTGTAAATCTTCTGAATCGCATACATCATTCCAGGATGCGCATGTTGTGTCCCCACAGCTATCTTTTTAGAGGAATAAGACATAAGCTGAGTTTTCACCAGCTGTAATGGACTCCCAAGCATAGCTCCACACAAGCCAGATATTGAACCAACTATTAAGCTGTTGATGAATTTAGTATTGTTTTCCTCATCTCGAAGTAGACCAAAACTATCTGACTGCTGATATATTCCTAACCTAAAATTAAATAAACATGTGCTAAAAACAATTTTTAAAATGGATGTAATTACTTATTATCAAGTAAAAGTAAATATTTACAAAACCGATTACATAACATATTTTACATAACAGGTAACAGTGGATAAATGTTTGTTTAATTATATAAATGTACTGTATCACATTTTTGTCAAAAACGAAAAATTATAATTCCTGAAAGATTTTTAACTTAATAGGAACTTTTGTCCGCAGAGTATCTCACACGTCTTGAGCGCTCACCTTGGACTGCGGACTAAAGTTCGCTGTGGCCTGTGTGTGTTGCTGCGCCTAATTACGGTAGTTCTAAATTTTTATCTATTCCGATCCTCGGTTGTTCGGGCGACTTTTCGTACGCGTTACTTTAAATCCGTTAAGTGCGTTATTTTTGACGAGAAAGTGTCTGTCGAAAGTGAAAAAGACGCCCGGGACTGCCCGTCGTTTGTGAATGCCATAAAGTTTAAGAGTCATTTATTTTTTGTTTGCATGTTCATTCTAAAACCATCATTAAACTAAATTTTTCGATCTTGTTTTAATGGTAAACTATCACTAGCGTTTGAAATAACTAATCGATATATAGGTTTATTATTTAATCATAAAGTTATAAAAATAAAAACAATTTATTAGGAATATCAGTCACTCTTCATTGAACACAGTTATATCAGAAAAGTTAATATTATATTAATTTTGCCCCTTCCACCCCTGCAGATAGGAGATAATTCATTGGGCTATGATGCCAAGGAGAAGGCCAAGGCGAACTCTTTGCATCCAACTCGACTTTGGATGACAAGGGAAACCGACCGCGGTGCCAGAGCTATTTGCCGGAAATCCGGTTCACCTAAAAATCAGTGCGTAAATCACTCTTTTCCCTTGATATTCATAAGTCGAGTGGGCCCGATGGAATTCTCCTATCGTCTTGAAGACGTGCTCCTGAGTTGGGACCGGTTTTAACGCGCCTTTTTCGACTCTCTTACTCCCAAGGCGTCGTCCCGAACTCTTAGGAGGGGATCGGTCCCTAAAAAAGGAGACCGCTCTGATTCATCCAACTACGGGCCGGGTTTTTCTTTCAAGGGTACACCCGGTTCCCCGGCAAATGGTACCCGAGACGGAGTGCGGTTTTTGGTCGGTTCGAGTCCGACATAACCACCGGTGGGTGGTATCCGAGGGATTTCCGCACAGGAAATAAAAAGGCCTATAGCCATAACTCCCATGTCAAAAGCTAGGTTATTAATATTATATAATTAACTAATTTGTGAAAGTGACGGTATTGGGATAAACATGCGATATCTACTTACTGTACACCAATTTCATCGTTCCTATTTTTCCAGTTTTACCACAGATATATAATAATTTTGTACATCTACCCTACACCCTACATAAACATATAAGTATATAAAGGTAGCTTACCTTACCCCATTAACAACTAGTTGGAACCACAAAGCTGGTACAAGTCCCTTCTGCAATGCAGCGATCCCATCATGTTTCACTATTGTGTACATAGCATGGGGTATATTCTTGTAGTGGACTGCATGTTGGCCTTTTGACCGCAGTTCTCCTTGTAACTGCATGCGGGTCTTGACCACGTCAAATGGGTTGCTGAAGAATCCAGCACCGACACCCGCAAGACCGCCCACAACGAAGTCCATTGTCTATGGAATTTTCTGGATTTACACCATTGTTTTTCGGTAACATTCATGACCACTCTCGGGAAAGATTTTTAAAAAAGCACATTGAATTGAAATATTTTAACAAAATGTGAATAAGTGAAAGAAATTAGTTAATATATGGGTTTAATAATGGTATTATAGGTTTAGTTCAAACTTTTAAAATTAAAATGTTATTAGTTTTTTTTAAATAAGGTTCTTATTTTTCTTATAGATATTTAAAATTTATTATTTGCTTTAATTTTTGAAAGGGGCGATCCGTGTGGTAACAGACTATACTAACAGTGGACTATTAAAGGGTGTTGAGGATGCTGAAGGGGAATCCGCCTCGGTAGTGCAGTGGTAGTGTATGCGACTGATGCGCTGAGGTCTGGGGTTCGATTCCAGTTTCGGATTAAATGTTTGTTTGATGTGCAAATGTTCGTTTCGGAGTTTTGGTGTTTTCTATGTATAATATGTATGTGTTTACAAAAGAAAAAGTATAAAGTTTATATTTTCAATAATAATATTTCAGACATCTAACAAACAACACCATATAGTTTCAAACTAAGCAGAGCTTGTATTATGTAAGCTGGATTGTCTCACAGAATACTTATATACTTATAAGCATATTGCCAGCTTAATTTGATTAGATATAAATATATCACACCTCAACTCAAATAATGTCAGAACATAAAAAATCAAATAGGTGTTTAATGTTAGAAGAAAAGTTATTAAGTTATAACCTTGCTTAATGCTACAAAACAAGCTTAAAGCAAGCTTCTGACTTGCTGAGGATAGTTTTGTTATTTTTTTTTAATTAAGACCTAAAAAGTAAAACAAAAGTTAAAGTGAAAAAAAATCACACTGTTTCTTTGCAATATACATATTAAGTTTATGTTAAAAAAAAAAATATATATGAAGTAGCACTAATAGTGGTGTTTTGTGTGTTGGTTTTATTTATAAATAGAATTCAGACACAAAATTATTATAAGAATAAAATAACATGTACTCAAGTGAGTATGTCCGGGGATGATGGTGTGATGCATCACATTTCAAAACAGACCTGAAACTCATTAGGCCAACCCAAAATATGTACAACTTTAATGAGTAACATTATTATTATTGTGTATGCATATGCCATAATGAAGGTAACTAGTAGGTGGTCTTATTAATACATTATTTTTATACTGTAGTTGGTATAATAGGGTAGAAATTTAACTACCTAAGTGTTATGATTCATAAGAAGGTTTTTTAGCAGAAGAAAACCTGAGATATGAGGGAAACATGTCCTCTACTCTAATTAAGTCAATCGGCATGCATGTTATTGAAGACCTGGCCAGGGTTCATAAGTTCTCAGGCAGAGCGGTGGTTGGTTTCATTCCTTTAAAATGCTTTAGCTCTTAAAAGTCGTGAGGGTTCTTTTAAGAAAAAACTGTTTAATATTTATATTCAAATAGGTAATTTAGTACTTACCAGAAAATACAAACAGTTTTAAAACTTAAAAGTGTTACACATAAGACATGCAAATATATTTTTGAATAATGACGTAACGAGGAATCACACAGTTTAATTAACACACGGACTGTAGCACGCACTATCAATAAATATTTAATGTGAGTAAATAATAAAAACAAAAGTGCTGATAATAAAAATGTTGGTTTCACATACTCAATAAAAGTTGTTGCAGAGGTCTGTACGAATTCATCTAGTGTTATCTAGTGTTTAAGATCACCATCATGGGATCTCCTGGATGACTAACGCAGTGGAAAAATTAATAGTCACTTATTATTTTCAATATAGATTTCGTAATGCTTTTGGATTTCCTTGTCAAAATCATCTGATATTTCTTTTATTTTTTGATCTGGTTACCTTTACCTCGAGTCTATTTCATTCATTATTTATTTACGCTTAACAACCACACTATATAACTTTTATCCTAAATTTTTAATGAGGTTAAATTAAATTAATATAATCCAAAGAATACTAAATACAACGACACTTTATGTTTCCCGGCAAGTGTCGTTGTATCTGTATTGTTGAAATCGATTTCTTAATCGATTTCAACAAAATCTGATTTTAAAGAGATATCAATGTCATTTCTTTGTATTTACAAATAGACTACAGTTTTATGTATGTAAAAGCCTGTATATTATTATATCTTATGTTTTAAATATAAATAAGTAATATTACTAGTGAAGACAAATGAAGATCGGTGAAAAGAAATGACCATCTGTAAAAACAATAGAACACACTTAAGTAAACACAAATAAATAGGCAATACATAATCTAGTTTGAGGAATCTAATTATGAGTGTCAATAATGGGAATAATAACTGGTAATATTCGTACATTTAAACGATTATTCGTATACAAAGTGAATATGAAGTGTCGCAACACTATCGTTTAGGACCTAACTACGTGACTTTGAAACGGATTCTTAAAAAATTCTTTCTATTGTATACATCCACAAAAGGAAATCCAGACAGCCTCGAAATTTTCACATACGTTCTATACTTATATTCACGAATTCTATATGAGCATGCTGCTGATAGCCTGATTGTGATTCTAAGTTGATCTGTAATGGACTTGTTAGATCTTTTAGCTGTTTATTTTATTAAAAAATAAACAGACAAAGCTTTATTGCCGAAATAATCATTCAGGGCCTCTTAGGTGCCTCCATATTTTGTGTCTCGAAAAATTGTAACACTTTCTCTTAGCTTATCCTAATAGATTTCATACTAAATTCTAGATTCAAGTTTTTTCAGTTTCTGATTAGAAACTCAAACATTGACAGATGCTGTCATACATTATTTTAAAACTTTTAATGGTTGGTGCCAAAATTATTTATGTAAACAAATTAATAGAATAAATAGGAAATATGTAAATTTGTTTGTAAATCTTAAATACTTAATAATAAACAACGAAAATTAAAAAATGGCTGTTACGAGTGGTATGTTCTTATTTGAAGTAGTGGTGGAGAAAGTAAATAGTCTGGTCTCAAGTCGACACTTGATCATAAAAAGTGATTTTGGTGACATATTTTCTTTAGAACTAAAAGATCCTAAAACAATGCATATTGTCATGCCAGAACCGCCACCATTACCACCAGAACCACCAGGCAAAAAGGGGAAAAAGAAAAAGCCAAAACCGCCTAAAAAAGGAAAAGGAAAAAAAGGCGCAGTTGAGGCTCCACCACCAGAGCCAACAATACAATCTGGTCAATCAGTATTGTTCGGAAGTAGCGCTGAGTTCTTAATACAAAGTATGGCAAAGTGTCCTTTGGAAATTTCTCTGTGGAGCAAAGAGGATAATTTAACTTTTATTGGCTCAGTTGCCATTCCATGGGATCCCATATTTGTATTATATCTAAAAAAAATAGCTGATAATCAGGAAGCAACACCAGTTGTTTTAAAAGAGGATTATAATATTTTTGAAGAAGGAAAAGCCAGAATGATGGCAAAAATAGGAATGCAAGTAAAATTATCGTTTTTGACTAGTAAACTAACGACTTCATTCAGGACTCTTTCAGAAGATCCTTCAATCAGGAAATATCTCTACACCGGTATTAACTGCAAAACAACGTCATATATGTGCACTTTAAAGACCACAGATGAAGAATTCGAACAAAACAGTGTTAAGATTCCAAATAATTTTACTGTTGATAAACCTAGTCAAAAAGCAAATAAAATTAATTACGCAGATTATAAAAATGCCCCAGGGGCTAATCTCACCTTCTTTAACGAAGGAGATTACTGTTGTATGAAACACGCTGACAAACCTCCCGAATCAATCTATATATCTCCAGAAACATGCCCGGATGTTGATCATATTGTTGATTATGTAAGAAAAATTATTGTTTCTTGTAATGACAATATGAGGATGTTAACTCCAAAATCTACTATAAGACCAAGAATTAAAGCTACAGATATCGACAGATTATGCTATTGTAAGGAGACTAAGTGGCCTGAAGGTGAACTTGCTGAAAGGTTTAAAAAGGAAGCACTTAGTGCACCTTGCCCGCTCTGTATTGATGCTGGAAAGAAGCCTAAAGGCTCCCGTGCAGCCACGTTTGATATCGGCAATATAAGAGGGCCGTGTGGTAAACCAGATTGCAAAATTGCAAGGGACATAAGAGCATATATCGAGCAATTAGTAGATGAAGACAATGAAGAATTTAATATAAGCGACCTTTTAGGACCATGCGGAAGCAAAGATTGTACAATAGTTGAGAAAATACAAGATTTTCTACATCATAGAGGCGCATTTACGCACGATTCCCATGTTGAGGCCCTGCCTACTCAATGTGCCTGTATAGAAACTATGCAAAAGGAGCTTATCAAAAGGGACTCATGTGACGATGTCTGTAGTAAGGATTGTCAAGAAACTGGAAGCGATGCAAGCTCTTGTAAAGGCGAAGGTTGCCCCCATACTAATAAAAAAATAGTTTATAATGTATATTACTTTACTGTGGAACATGATTTTGATAAAAAAAGTGAATCGGCTGCATCTACCACACCGGCAGGTACTGCATCACCTGAAGATAATGCACCGCCTAAGTCTAAATTCCCACATTGCCCATCTACTTGCCCGAGTGTAAGAAAGTCTGAAAATGTATCCTGCTCTAAAACAACTTGTTCTGTAAGTGGTAATAAGTTCGATGTGATTTCTAAAGAGACTGAGAGTCCATCTACTTGTGTGTCACCAGTATGCCCACCACTGAATGAGTTGCCGCCAAGTCCTGCAGACAGTAATATAGTCATTAACTTCGATGAAATTAATAATCCTTGCTGCGTAAAGTCGTGTACTGTTGCTGAACAAATAAAAGACTTTATAGAAGATTCTGTACGTAAGAGTAAAAGTAAAAAAGAATGCGCGGAGAAACTGGGAGAGGACGAAGAACCCTGCTATTGTGATTGTGTATGTACTTTTAAATTTTCGAGCAAAACCACTTACTGTCCCGTTTGCGGGGGTTATCAATGTCTTGGTGATGATGTTAGAGAGTTGCCAGAATTTCAAAAGCCACATCCATGTCCTGTTTATCACAAATTGTATGATAAGAAGTATATAAAAACTCCAAATCCTTGGCCCGAAGAAAAGCAAGGAGAATCCGCAAAAGAAGTAGGAAGCGCAAAAAGTTCTAAGATAGGTGCCAAGTCGATGGAGAAATCGAACACTCAGCAATCAAAAATTACTTTAGACAAAGAGGTAAAAATGAAAGACACTTCTCGGGAAAAAACAAAAAAATCAAAAACTCAAGTTAAGAAAATTGGGAAATACACAGCTAATACGGACGAGGAGCGTGCGTATAGTTTGATACAAATTATGCTATGTAGATTGTACACGATGTCTTAATTATAAGAGTTAACCAAATGGCTGACTCTCGCATTTAAGACCTCGAGTATGAGTGTTCTTTTCTTGAAAGGGTTCATTCAGTTCATTTCTTCTAAAGAAAGCAGAAATTTGTAGAAAGAAGTTGATTTCATATACTATTACAAAATAAATTATTTCTACGTGATGAAATAACTAAGACGATTTATGTAAACAAAACACGTGTTTGATTTCAGAGGCGCAACCACCGATAGAAAACAAACCGGAGGCTAAATATCCTTATCCGCCTGTTCCTAAGAATATGGGATGGAATTGGACTGCTGAAGATATTCCTGGTATGAAGGTATGTTCGTTACCTAATTATGTTTCTTGATAACTCGCAATTTGCCTAAAGATACAGGAATATCGTAAAGATACAGAATGTTAGGAAACTTCTAATAAGTTTTTTTTTGCCGCACCTATTATCAGCTTATTTTCAATTTATTTTCATGTTGTTTCTCATAATTGGTTTTTTAAGGTTCCGTACCCAAAGGGTGAAACGGGATCCTATTACTAAGTCTCCGCTATCCGTCCGTCAGTCTGTCTGTCTGTCACCAGGCTGTATCTCATAAATCGTGATAGTTAGAGAGTTGAAATTGTCACAGATAATGTATTTCAAAAACAATTGTATGATGTATTTAACAACAAATACTAAAACAGAATAAATATTTACGTGGGCTCCCATACAACAGACATGTTTTTTTTGGCGTTTTTTATAGATAATGGTACGGAACCCTTCGTGCGCGAGTCCCACTCGCACTTGGCCATTTATTTTAACAAACGTTTGTTATTAATTGGTCTATGGCTTTGCTTATCATATTGGTTTTTAAATACGTTACTCTTTTTAATATAGGCATTCTGTCCGGTTCGTTAAAATCGGCTCATTCGTTTCGAAGTTTTATAGACTAGCTTTTGTCCACGGCTCAGCCCGCGTGTATGTCGGTTATCGTGGTAAAAAGACCTCCTCCTTCCCCACAACTCAAAGTATCTCCATAACAAATTTCATTCAAATGGGTTCAACGGTTATTGATTCCCCATACAAACCTCTTCACTCTTTTCACCCCCTTGAAGAATGATTTCTGGGATAAAACTATCCTATATCCTTTCCCGGGACTCAAACTATGTCAAACCCAAATTTCATCTAAATCGGCTCAGCAGTTTAAGCGGGAAGAGGTAACAGACAGGTGGACAGACACTCTTTCGCATTTAAAATATTAGTATGGATAAATTACATCGAGACACAGATTCCCCACCCAAGACAAATGATCATTCCACAATTATATGTCTTGGCTGGGAATTAAATCTGGCGTAGTCCAGTCAAGAACCCTAACCACTAAACCGACAGGCCCGTTATTTAACTGACATTCTTCATTTTATTTTATTTGTGTGGATAGTAACATTATCGAGTACGTAAAACCTGGCGTTTTTTAAATTTTCTAATCCTCATATTCGATTTCTAAATGGGTATTCGTCTGTCGCAAATATTACGAACTAGCTGAGACCCGCGGTGTTACCCGCGTTTGTTGTTATAACCGCGGGCAACGCCGCGGGGCGAAGCTAGTCTAAAAAAAGTAGCCTAAGTTACTCCTTATGCCATCAGCTATCTGCCAGTGAAAGTCCCGTCGAAATCGGTCCAGCCGTTCCAGAGATTACCCGGAACAAACAGACAGACAGACAGACAAAAATTGTAAAAAATGTGATTTTGGCATATGTACCGTGTAAACATACATATGCATTTAGTAAAAAGCGGTTATTTTAATATTACAAACAGACACTCCGATTTTATTTATTTGTATAGATGTTAACACCAAAAAGTAGTAAACAGTTTTCTTCGTAGTTTTGAAATGCGTTTTGTATAAAGATTTCAATGTTAGACGTCATTCTTTAGGATGTGTACTGCCTGAATTTTGTTGAGTTTCGTAATACTGATCTTCATAAAAAACTCGAAAATAACAATTTCCTTTATTATATATTTAGTGGCATAATACCTACGAAGGTTGAAGTATGTTTTTCGATTGTATTTATAGAATTTGTACTTATTATATCTATTTTTAAGTCAAAGTTTATTAAGAAGCTTTCTGTTATTATCTTAATAACAAAATTTATGGTGATGGTTTTGTTTTTTATCAAAATCTACATACACTGCTAGACTCAGTATTAGACTTGGCAATTATTGCTACTTTTAAATTATATTCATTTGATGAAATGATTGGTATTAATGACAGTGATTTCACATATGAGTGGGAATTCGTCATGGACAAAGATAAGTCGCATTAAAATCAATCAAAATTCTTTTTATCAAAGATTACGATTACCTTTTGTTTAGATTTAGATTTTCGCGAGTCTTGCGCTAGCGTATAATAACAATTAAGTAGCAGTGGATTGGTAAATCAGTCATAGGCGTGACGAAATTATTTTTGAATTGTGATTGTGATTTTATGCATTGGCTATGTAACTGTAAATGTATAGATAAAGATACTCCGTCTTATGTTTACATCCACCTAGTTAACTAGTGTGAAAATAGAGTAGGGTGCCTACGGCCGGCCGCCGGAGTGATTTTTAGTGAAAACTCCACATGCTCCTGGCTCCTGCGTCCCCAAGGAGCCGAAAATCATTTCGCAGCCGAAGATTTTTCAGCCTGTCACCAAAAAAAGCTAATGGTTATGTTACCGGCACGGATGTTAAGCGCTCGCCTCGGCGGCAGGGTGTGTATGCTTTGCACATCGTGCACTAATGGACACCCAAATATCGGTAAGTTAATTTGACATCTACGACTTGTTTGAATTTTCAAAGATTTTATAATTTTATAGTTTTTTTTATTAAATATACTTATTTGATGTATATTTTTCGAGTAATATGTTTGCTTTAAATTGTCTCTACACTCTAAATCTAATGTATTTTTTTTCTGTTAATTTCAGCCAATGCTTGAAACACCCTGAAGAATTCCTACTGCGACATTTACTGACAAATTATTTTGATATTGTGATATGTGTAATAAAAACATAACGTTTTCTTTTTGTTTTCTTTTTTTATTATGTATTTGTAGACTATAACTGGAGACTGAAAACTTGCTAAATCTTTTTAATCTTTTATTTTTAGCCTCGTCCTAAATGGAAACCAGGAGCAGCCAACAAAATTTTGGTAAGAAGATATCGAGCATTAAGAGAGGGTACAGACACAATTGCTAAAAAGAAACGGGCCCTGATGCAGCGCAAAAAGAAAGTAGAATTGAGACCAACAATAACAGTCACAAAAAAAGATGGAGAATTTACAATTGAGATGGAGGTATTTAAAAAATATTCAAAAGAACGACTAGTACATCAATTTCCATATGAGGAGCGTCCACCTCTAACTTATACCATAGGAAAGACCGAGGAAGAAAAGAAAAAACTGCAAAACCAACGTGAAAAGAGAGCACGAAGGGAGACTAGAAGAAAAAGTCAATTCTTGCAGTCTACGTTTAGGGATAAATGTCAAGAAATTTGTTTAAAAGCATATGATCAAGCGATAGGGATGCTGCCACTTCCCAACCCCAATGACCCCGATTGTCCTTGCATTACTGGCCCACCGATCGAGAAATCTCCTTTAGATTCATGTTCTTGTTCTGAAGCTGAATCCATTTCAAGTAGTGATACGGATAATGACGAATGGGTTATAGAATTCTCGCCACCAGCTGCAAAATGGAACCCTAAAGCTAAAAATGCACCGGTTTCAGTAAATAATGAAACTCAATATACATATCTAGACTACAAAGTAAAACTCTATGATAAAAATGGTAACCCTGTGCCAAGATTTTTCAAATCCCACGAGGGTAAGACGGAATGTAGTGACTTAGGTGGGTTCTGGGGACCTGGAAAAGTATGGCTGGAGATCAATAAAGACGGATACATAGGTCCTGACGAGCGCTGGGTTCCAATGAACTTTATAGGCCCTGATGGAATGTTCTATTCCGCAGAAGAGGGTTTTATAACTGACAGTAGTGGACAAATTTTGAAACTAGGAATAGATGGATACATTGATAAGGACCTTAACTGGGTTTTTTATGCGAAAAAGAAACAGAGTCCAAAATCAATTGCTACTGCTTCTTCGGCTAAGTCACCCAGTCCAACAGCAGCTCTTCAAGGCAAAGGCGACGGTAAAAGTAAATCAGCTTCTCCGACTGAAACCTTGCAAGCTTCCAAGTCCAAATCTGGTGATAAAAAGGAAGTTCCAGTAGCCAAAAAGAATGATAAAAAGGGAAAAGGAAACAATCCCTTGGTGATGAGGCTTATGGTCGATTACCCAGGAAGGAGACGGCCACGATTCCATGCCCCCAAAATGCGTAAATCTGAATTGGACCGTAAAAAACTGGCGAAATATTGCGAAATAATGGGTGATATCAAAATGTACGACGATATACACGAACTGAAACCTCCCGTGAAAACTAACAGAGCATCCAATACTCCTATTAAAATGTTTTCAAGGCCTAGACCGCCTGTCATGAAATTGCAGCCAGAAAAAGTACAAAGTAAAAGAAACACAATTGAATAATTATTTTTTAAATAATAAGTTAATAAATTATATTTTACATTTTTATAATATGCTTTTTTGTTTAGTTTTTGTCTCACTCCTTGTTGTAAAGATAAGTAAAACGCTGCTTTGTTTACAGCTGAACATAATATATAAAAGAAAGAATAACGGTGACAAAAATGCATTATTATAGACGCCTTTTTTGATTTGATTTAGTTTGGTTGAATTTTCTGCCGGAAAATCCATCAATTTGTTTAAAAACAAATTAATAAATGCCGCATACGGTCAAAAACTGCAATGTAATAAATCCTCCACTGACTGCCAACTTGTGTTATTGTGCGTAGACTGTTTGCACTGAATACATATGTACTGTACTTTTGTGCGATACCTACGGGGAATGACCTTTACCTTTCACAGCTGATTGCATATAAAGTTTAATTTTCCGACAGAAAATTCCAATGGTTTTAGACTCGGAATGATGGTCTGAATACACTAGTTTAGTATTCGTTCCGATGTCCCTTACAACCCCCCCACCCCCTACAATAATAATATTTTCGGACAAATGACACAACGTCATCTATTTTCAAACTAAGCAGAGCTTGTACTATGAAAGCTAGAATAGAAGACCTATTGAATACTTATATACTCTTTTTTTTTTGTAAATACATACACATATTTTATACATATAATACATAGGTAATCGACGCTATCTTGGCTCTGTCGTACCCGTGGTGGCAGCTGCTAAACTGAAATACGTAGACGAATGATATATCACTATTATTTAGACTAAAACGGACACTTACTAATTTTACAGACGTAAACAGCTCCATTTCGAAAGTGGTTCATTGGTTCGACGTCAACAATTTGCTTTTAAATGAACAAAAAACCAATTGCATACGTTTCACTATGCCAAACGACAAGCCAGTGAAAACTACTGTGATGATTAAAGATGTCGAGTTTGACCTTGTGGACACTACGACATTTTTAGGTATACCTAGACCAGATTCTAACAATTCTACAGTGGGTTCCCACATATTGATAAATTATCGAGTAGACTCAGCTCAGCAGCATACGCTGTAAGAAAAATTCGAGATTAGACTGATGTTGATACAGCACGACTTGTCTCCTTCAGTTATTTTCACAGCATAATCTCGTATACCGTACGAGATTCGACTGCACGGATGGCGTAGTGGTTTAAGCGGTCGCCACGCCGCTTTCTACTACGCCGAGTGTTGTGGGTTCAAACCCCACATGGGACGACACTTTGTGTGATCCACAAATTGTTGTTCTGAGTCTGGGTGTTCTTTGTGTCCGTTTCATGTATGTTTGTAAAGTCCCCCGCGACACAGGATTTATTCCTAATGCGGGCGTTGACTTAAAAAAAAAAAAAGATTATACTGTGGAGGAATGCTGCCGAGTTTCAAACTATTTTTGTACTGCAAAAAAAGCGATTCGAGCACTTTATAATTTAGGCAATTGTTTTTCATTGAGGCAGAAATTTAAAGTAATAAACATGACATTGGCATATGAAAATGTAATATATGTTCATAAAACAAGAATATCTTTTAAAAAAAAAGTGATGTACATTCTATAAATATCAGAAATATAAGTAAACTTGTAGTACCTGCCTCTAGGCTCCAAAAGATAAATAAGTCGTTTCGAGGTCAATGTGTCCGATTTTATAAGAAAATCCCAAATTATATTCAAGTATTAAGTTTAATCCGCAAAAAAATTAAATCCACAATTAAAGGTAAATTATCTCAAAAAGCCTATTACTCGGTTGTGGATTACATAAAAGACAAAAATGCTTGGGAATATTTTTTTAAGTGGAAATGTGATGTGGGCTAGGGTGTATTTTATTATTTTCTATTTTTTATGTAACTATTTGACAAAACAGAGATTGTTGCTATTGTGTGTGCGTTGATCTACGACTTTAGAGTCTACATAAAATACAATTTCAAAAAATTTTAAAAATTTGAATTTGAATAATTTTGACACGATAAAATACAAAATTTCATTATTTTCTTCTTAATACCAGAAAATATACCAATTGGCGATTTTGCGATACAAACGCACAACACGGACGCTGAGTGTACTAACTTTAAGCTACGCCCACTGTGATGACGTCAGGACCTATTAGAATCACAGTACACAATTGCTTAGGCCTTCTCTTCTTTGTATTTGCTCCTTTGTGATATGAATCTATGTACATCACGCAATTATTAATATATAGATCTTCAATACATATTAAAAAAAAAAAACTTTCCGGAGACTTTTCGGAGACTTTTCGGAACTTTGGGTGATAAAAAAAAAGTTGAATGGGAGATGTTACGTACGTTACGGGAGTATTATAGCAGTGCATTTCTTGTGAATTCCTAATTAGAATGGACTAAATACTTAAAACTTCACACTTTAGTTATCAATTAATCTAACAATTGCGTCGATAAGGCAGTATGTAATATGCATGTCTATTTGTAATAAATTTCATTAATCTAAGAATAGGTTTGTTAAAGTAGTTTTCATTACTAGTTGTCAAAGTTACAACTCGTTTATTCCTATGCCATATCGTTTTAAAAAAAAAGTTTATAAACAAATTTCAAACTTACGTCACACATCGTTTTCGGCCGTTTGTTAAATTTTTGTATTTTTTCTCATAATTGTAAAATTTCGTGTATAATGGATGTTTAAAGTTTTAGTTTATATCTTAATGTTAAATATTTATGAATTGTATTGTAACGTAAGCGTAATTTGAGAAAATGGCTGTTTCGGGTTCAATGTTTTTGACCGAGGTAGTAGTTTCGGAACTACGAAGCTGTGTTAAGTGTAAAGATTTTTTAATCAAAAGCCAATTTGCTGATCTTTTTTCTGTTATTTTGAAAGAGTCAAAGGACTTAGAAAATACATCACATGTGAAGAAAAAAACTAAACGCAAAACTAAAGTAAGAAAAAACAGTAAGCCTTTATCTAAGAGTGAATACAAGGCACAATCAGGTCAGTCAATTTTATTTACAAATGATATTGCAAACCTTATTACAAATATGAAACTATACCCAATGGAATTGTCGCTGTGGAGTAAAGCATATCCTAAATATAAAATTGCTTCAACTAACGTTCCCTGGAGTGCAAAGTTCATTGAATACTTAGAAGAAATTTGTATAGGAACACGGCCTCAGCCTGTTTCTATCACAGGAGAATACAACGTGTTTGATGAAGTGACCTCCAGGCGCATGGCCGTAATAAAGCTCAATATGAAGTTGAGTTATTTAACAGATAAAATCACAACACAGCTCAAATCTTTGGCTGAAGAAACGCCACAGAAGTTAGAAACCATCTTAACCAAAGTCCAGGATGAAAAACTTTATGCAGAAGAGACTGGCATTATTAGGACTCTATATAGTGGTGGAAAGAAGAACGTTAGAAAATCTAAGACGAAAAAGCCTAAAAGTTCGGCAAATCCTCACTTAACCAAAGAAAAAACGGTTGAAAACGAAATTATTAAAAATAATTCGTTTCATATTATAAATGAATCACTAGAAAACAGAAACATAAACAGCAGTATAATAAGTTTAGTAAAAAGTACTACAGATATTGATAAAGATAGAGAAATTGATTTATTGAAGTGCAAATCATGTTCATCAATGAACCAAGAACATTTGAAAATTTTGAATTATATTTTTGGTGACCCAGCAGGTACTTTCGGCAACCAGGTATACTGTGTAAACTATTTTACAATAGATGACACTAAAAGCGATTCACCTTCTCCAAAAAGTACTACTAAAACTTCGGTAAAATCAGATCTAAGCACAACAAAAGAATCAGAAAAAAATGATACATCGGAAAAATCTAGCACTAAAAACTTCTATAAACTTAAATTATGTGACAATGAATGTCCTCAAAATGATGATATTGGTTCATTAGATATACCAATAGAAAATGCAGCAGAGATTGAAGTAATCAAATGTAAAGACGTAAATTGTAAACATAAAGAATTTAGGAAACTACCGCCTCCCCCAGATGATAGAATTTTATTAGACTTGGCTAGTTTAAAGAATATATGTTGCGATAAAAGTGAAAAGGTGGATACAATTGAGAAGGTAGAGGAAGTATTTGGAGGCATGATAGCAAAGATGAAATTCGGAGACGACCCTTGCTATTGCGAGTGTCAATGCAAATTTGGCTTTACGAAAAAGACGAAATATTGTAAAGTATGTGGAGGTTACGAAACTATAGGTGAAGATGAGGTTGTAGATGATCCTCAACTCGAATTCCCTTGTCCAATTTATCATAATTTAGCTGATAAACCCAAAACTAAATCTAGTATAATTAGTGATCCGAAAAAAGGTGGCAAGGCTAAAAGTTTAGCTGATAAAAGCATTGAATCCGAAAAAGAAACTAAAAAGGGCAAGAAAAAGAAAAAGGATGACAAATTTAAGTTTAACTATGGTTATACAGGTATACGTATGTATTGTCTATTTTTTTTTTGTTTTTACTTTTACGAGTATGCATAATAACGTGGTTCAAAGGTTACTTACACATTTTTAAAATGGTATTTGTTTTATAGCACCCCACATTGGACACGATTACTGTGCACAACCTTGTGCAGGTACATTGGGAGAAGTACCTAAGAGCATGGGTTGGCTCTGGACTGCTGAGAACGTACCAGGGATGAAGGTATGCAACAAAATAAAATTAATTGTGAAAGGTCTTTTTCTACGTTTTTATTTTTATTTTTTATTTTTTCTTAGTTCCGTCCATCATGGAAACCTGGTGCGGTGAATAAGCATGTATTAAGGTTACTACGTATGGCAAAGCATCCAGGTGAAATTTTCACGAAAAAGAAGAAAAAGAGGGATTCAGGCAAAGTAAAGAGACCTTTAAAGAGACCATTATTAATAGTACATAAGAAGGATGGCGAATTTACAGTTACTATGGAAACAATGAAAGCATATAGTAAACCGAGAACTATAAATCAAGTTCCATATGAGGACAAAGATGCATTAACATACACGATAGGCAGAACAGAGGAAGAAAATCGGCAACGGCGCATAAAGAAAGAGCGAGCACAGAGGCGGCTGGAGAGATCGCAACGTGAATTTATTCAGAGTGCTTTTCATGATATGTGTCAAGAGATCTGTTTGAAGACTTACCAGCAAGCGCTCGGTATTTTACCACATGCTGAAGATCCCGACTGCACCTGTTATCCGGCAGATCCAGGGCCTGACAGAACTGATCTAGATCATTCTTGTTCCTGTTCTGAAGACTCAAACCTTTCATTTTCTGATACGGATTCCGATGAGTGGATTGTGGAATTTACGCCCCCCACGGCTACATTTGACCCAACTTACAAATGCAAGAAAATAACAACCACAGAAAATTCAAGTCAATATACATATTTAGATTATAGAGTAAAGTTATTAGATAGATACGGCAATCCTGTACCCAGATTTTTCAAAGGCCCCGACGGAAAAGAGCAGTGCAGTGACTTAGGTGGTTTTTGGAGCCCAGATCATAAATGGCTAGAAATAAATGTAGATGGTTTTATAGGACCGGATGGAAAATGGGCTCCCCATATTTTCATTGGTCCTGATGGGGAAAACGTTGATGCTGAAATCGGCAAATTCCAAGCTAACGATGGAACTTGGTTAGTGGTTGGAGTTGATGGATACATCGATTCTACTGGCAAGTGGAGATACTATTCGAAAGTAGGAAAAGGAACACCAGACAAAAAGCGTCGGTCAGCAGTAGCAAAGGACAAGAAAGGGAAAAGTGGTACTAAAAAAGAAGTCCCCGTATCTACAAAGAAATCAGAGACCACTTGGAGTTGTTTTGGCGATGCGAACCCTAGTTATTTGTCTAAATTAGGGATTTTAGGTCACGGACATGATAGGAAACTGCTTTTAGATACATTAAATTCATTAATAGCCCAAGGAGAAGATCTCAAAATACCAACCCCATCATTTGTACCCAGGAGCAAACGTAAGAGAACAAAAGTTAAACATAGTTCTGATTTATACGATTCAGATAAAACTAAATGCAGACATCCGATACCGTCTAGTAAAGGTGTTCTAGCCGTTGATAGTTATGGGAATAAGATTTACTTTAGATTACTGGACTATAAGAATAAGAGACCTGAACAGAGAATATTGAATCTCACATCTCAAGGGATCAGTCTAAGCTCATTTCATGTGCCATGTTTCCATTCATTTATCAATTCAGAACTGATGAAGAAGCAATTGTATAAGAGGCGAGCGAAGCTTGCTGAACAACATGGTTACGTCCCAAAACCACCCCGCAAATCTTCTCCTGCGTCTGATTGTTCCTCTAAGGCCAAGCCCAGATATCGGAATGCAATGGTTTAGGCCGCATAACATCCTGCGTTAGGCAGGTAGATTTCGTCAATGAGAGCTGCTTTTAACAGGTGAAGTGATAAGTGCAATATTTGTTATGTGATAAGTCAAATTATGTAAAGTTATGTAATTTTTAAGACAAATAAATTATTCAGATCTTACGAATGTTTCCGCTTGCTTACAAGACTATGCATCTTGCATGCTAAAGGTGGTTGTTTCGAGATTCTGACATGCACTTTGATTTTAATTCTATACGACACCTGAGATACCTCATCATCTTTTCAACAAAGGATTTGATTTATGAGAATTATCCAAATATTTAGTCTGGGTCCCACGTTTTTACGTCTTACTTTAAAAAAAAACCGTTACATCTTTGTGCTAAAGAAATGACCAGTAATTGTTGTTGTGTAATTAAAAAACAAAAAAAGCGCGAGACTCGCGCATTGAGAGTACCTTCGGAATTGATATTGGCAAATTTTTAAATATTTTTTACTTTGGCGATCTAAAATGGAGCATTTTTAGATACCCCGCCATAAATGTCAAGCAATTTTTTAAGAGCAAAATATAACTTTGTAATCGTAATAAGTAAGGAGAGACCTACGTCCAGCAGTGCTCTACTGAAAGCTGTTTATGTCATACAGATAACCCTAAAACACGTTTTTAGGTAAAAATAGTTATTGTCTGAATAATTTAAGAAGTGAACGCCACTTTGCACGGTTTGAACGAAACACGAAACAATTCTAATTTAAGTCAAACAATTATTAAATAAGCAAAAATTTATAGTACTGAGTTGAATGAATGTATTAGGATATATTTCACAGTTTAAATTTCTACAAATAAATTTAACATTCAGATCGTCAGTTTCACCTGCCAAAATGTACTTCTTATACGAGTATTATTTTTACTAGAGAGGAACTTAATATCATTTTGAACTTTAACCCAAAAAATTTTCCTTCATGAGTTAAAGTAAGCGTATTTTTTATTATTCTGTATTTTTTAATTTTTTTTTCAAACATTACCTATCGAAAAGATATTATGTATGATTATGTGGTTTCAGGTAGCACAAGGATGGAAACCCGGTGCTATTTCTAAGCGCCTCTTACGAAAGTTGAACAAGGCTAAAAAGTCAAAGTTGCCAGTAAGAAAAGTAAAGGTTGCGAAGAAAGTTAAAAAGAACGTAGAAGAGAAGCCAACACTTATCGTCTGTAAAATGAATGGGGCATATCACATAGAGATGCAGATCTCGCCTGCGAACAGTGATACAAATATGGATCAGTGCAGCCCTTTGAAATATACGATTCAGAATGAAGATAATGAGGAACGAATACAGAAGCGGTTAAGGAAAAGACAGCGTCTGATCAAAGAGGCTGTTAATAAAGTTTGGTCGGATCCTTATCACCCAGACGTCTGCGAGAAAACGTGCCTCAAAGCGTATAAACAGGCAGTTGGTCTTCTGCCTTATGATCCCAATAATCCTGAGTGTACATGCTCTAACGATGAAAAGTCTGAAGATTCCATTAGCTGCTTTTGTGAGGAATCTGATACAAGTTCTGAAGGTGGCTCCTTAGATCTTCAATGGGAAATTCATTTCACCCCACCTAGTGCACATTATTGAATGTCTTAATTATTTTTTAAGTTTTAATAAAAATAATGATTGATTTCATCTTATGCTTATTTACATAAATGATTCAGTACTACGAGAGTTATAGTTATGAGGAGCTAGTTTAGGTTTTATTACTCTAGATGGGTAATCGGTTTTTGATGCATTTTCCTATAGAATGGCTAGACGTGTTGAACATCTCTGGTTTATTTCTGACCAATGGGCACTAATATCTACTGCCAATCTATAGCGAAAAGTCAGTAAGAAGCAGGAACAGAGGCGAGTTAGGTCAAAGATAGAGAAATCGGTCGGACAATTTTCAAAGTTACGGTTCAAAGTTACCGTAACGGTCAGGTTAGGAGCGGCAGTTCGTGGTCGCAAATTAACATAATTGGCTGCGGCTTGGTTACTACTGCCTACAATTAAAAATTTCCAAAGTTTTATTTATTCTGTTTTATTAAGACAGTCAATTCGTTTTATTGCTTCGTAGCAAACGTTGAAGAAAGTCCCACATGACGAGGGAGATAGTTACATTTGGAGCTAGCTTTATGTACAGTGGTCCAACCCCTTTATACAATCCGTGTAGACCTTCTATTTTGTATATTTTCATTAGGCAGTCTAGAATTCCCGTATACAAAAGTTTACGTCCTGGTGCATTACCTAAAATTGAAAAGACATATTGAAAAAGATTATGTGTATATGTGTTTTGCAGCTCCAAACATGGTTTATCAATTATCGGGTTGTTTACTAATGAATAGGCATAAACCCTCTTTTGTATTTACACAAAAGAAGTATTATGGTAACTTCAGAACATTTGACTTCCGTAGATATATTTGGTCTGAACTTTGTCATATTCAATTAGCATTTTCTAGGATAAGTATCTTGACGGTCTTGACTATACAGCGTAAGCCTGTGAACTTGTTTACCAATCAGTAGAATCTCGACAAAAATCAAAACTAGCCCCACAATAGGTTGGTCTGACGAAAAAAATAAAAAGAACAGTACCTTGGTTGTATAACCGGGTAGCGACGACGTCAAAAGGACAATTGGCCAGGACTACGGCAATGCCGCTTACTGAACTAGCCACAAAAGCTAATCCAAATGGTGAAGACTTGAAGTGGCCGTGGGATATTAGCAATTCCTTTGCTCTGAAATCATTGTTTAATGTAATTGCTAGCAATTATATCTTTGAGAAGAATTAATTTACATGATTCTCATCCTGTCGTTACAAAACCCTTGAAAGTGAAAGAAGATTTTTTAGTAGGTTTGCGTTTCCCCATTAAACACCGCACTACAAGGGCCGATTACTCAACTCCATTCCGGTCCTAGTTCATGATGGTACGCTCCAAGTCTGTCAGCTGAATGGCAGACTATTAAATGCGTTGGCGATGTGAGATTTTACTACACTGCTAAGTGGCGTTATAGTCCTTTAATCTAAACACTGATATTCTTCACGGAGCTGTAAATTGCTTCCTTGCATAGACTTGCTTACATAATATGAACGCTCTCCCATAGATAGAAGTTCAACAAAACACACCAGATGCCGGCTGTGCTATGTTAACGCTAAATTATTCTTACTTCGAAAATGTGGTGAGTTGAGCCGAATAGCCAATAGCCAGCCGTGTGGCAGTTGCCGTTACACCTGCGAAAATACCTCTTAAACCTTCAAACTTATGTAGTTTGACTAAACCGTCTAACAAACCTGAAATCAAATGATATCATATTAAACCAGAATAATGAAGGATGCAAAAAAGCAGGAACAACAAAATTCCGAGACTTCTGTGGTCGGTTACGCCATGTGTTCATCATTTTGCTTAGTTTTTTACGACATAGGTGGCAAAGGAGCTGATGGTAAGTGACTACGCGACCGAGCTACCGCGATCAAGCTAAATCACTCACATATGTGGCGAAGAAAAGCTCTACCCTAGTCAGGTTCAGGTGACAACAAATAGGCACAGATTATATTGTGTATATAAATAATACTGTATAATACTAAATAATAATAATAACGAGCTGGGTATATAAATAATAATAGTTGTCGGTTAAATACTTTATTTCACTGTATTTACAAAATCACTAAAAATCTTGTTAGTCGCACTAGAAATTCACTCCGATGTTAATTCGCTGTGTCGTAAAACTGTGTCGAACGGCCAACACGCTCCGCTGTTATTGCGCTTTTGAATTTTACTAGAAACTTCCTAGTCCGTTCCAGACAAACACGAATATTACAGAATCAGTCACGCGTTACTTGCAGCGCCATCTAGCGCTGTAAGGATCAGAACTACCCGTATTAACCACAATCTTAATAGATGTACTTGGTCGATACTAGATGACTGTCCTCCACATTCCATACAGTCGAACCATTTAATCTATGGTGACAAGAAAACGGCGTGAGGGGCCTATGGATCAGCGGTCGGAACGAGGTTCCTTTCGCTTTTTGGCAGACGTTTGATATATATATATATATATAAATATGAAATATGAAAAATAAATGAGCGTTACGTCGATGCGCCAACTGAAGTGTCGGCAAAAAGTCTTGTTACACATTTTTCGGTGTCGCTCCCATCCGCTCAGAGCGTGGAACGCGCGATAAGGAACTTCGTTACAAGTTACAATGTTTACGGCAAACACCGAAGGTCCACCAGGTCCACCAGTCAGTTTAAACCGTGAATTTATAGTGGTATTAGAAACGAAAGGAAGTAACTTAAAAGGGTTATGAGTATAAAAAAAAAAACTGGATTTAATAATAAAGTTAAAAGCCTTGCACTAGTGATTCATCATCATCATCGGAATATCGCAGTCCACTGCTGGACATAGGCCTCTCCCATTGCACGCGACTTAGATCGATTTTGGGCTTCTCGCATCCAGCTCCTTCCAGCCATCCTGCGCCGCAAATCGTCACGTCACCTGGCCCTTGCACTAGTGATTGCGACACGTAAAAGTGAGCAACTCATAACTGGTATTATACATGTTGGCTTTGAACACAAAACAAGAAACTAAATATCGTTATTAGCATCGTTTCTGATTTACCCTCCCATTTTTTTTTTGTATATTAAACTAGTGATTCGTATGTATTTAGTTTTTAAGGTTATACTTTAGATATAAGACAACTGTATATGGTAGAGTGGGGTAGGGTGGAGGGTTGATAACCTAAGATACGGGAATATTCCTAGTTTAGGTGTTAACCCACCATAGCCATTTATTTTCGTTCAATATTTATCTATATATATCCATCCTGTAATTATGGTGAGAAATAAACTTATACTCGTGTCGAGCACCACTGAGAAAATAAACTCACGAAGACATTTTATTTGTGAATTAATAAATATAATATAAACCCCACTCTTCCAAAATACGACTTACCGTTATATACATGCTGTCTTCCTACAGCTATGCTTGGGTGACCGGCTGACTGCAATCTAATCTTTACAACTAATAAAGGGTTGCAACCTACACCACCCAACAGACCGCCCGTAGCTGACCAGAACATGGACTTCTTAATATTGACATCGCCATTTTTGTTCTTCGTATAGCCTTTAGCTTCTGCCATGCTATATATTCCTAGCCTACAATGTTTAAATTGTTATAATTAACATCAATATCCTTTCCTGGACATTGGCCTCTGCTTAGAATGGAGGTTTTGACCTACTAAACCACGCTGACCAGACGGGTTGGATGGGTTACAATCATGGTTTAAAGAAATCATAGGTTATGATTTGCTTCTAAATATTGCTTATGGAAATGTTATTTTATTCTACTGTTTATCATGTAAATCAATTAGACCTTCGCCAATTCCATTATCAACTCTTCAATTAACAACAACGGCTTGATAAATGAAAAATACAAATAGAGGTTTAAAACGCAGATAACATGCGCTAAAAAAACTATCATTTGTGGTTTTTATTGTATTATATAACTATGTAAAATGCATCATGTTTTTTTTTGTGTCATATTAAAAAATATATTTTTACCCTTTAAAATGTCACTCCATAAAAGGGCCAACGTCGATCAACGATCGGTGGATGTATAATCGATTTTGATTCGATTCAGGAACTGCAATTATTTCACTTACGATAAAGCATTGACGAGAAACCCCAACACCATTGCAGGCACTAATCCCTTCTGTAGAGCTAACAGTCCTTCGGTCTTCGCGATGACATATAGACCGTGAAAGGTACTTTTATATTTTGTTGCCGTTTTAGATCCGGAGCGTAATTCTCCTTGCAACTGTAGCCTTGTTTTCACAACGTCGATGGGATTAATAAATATTGAACTGCCTGCACCGGCAAGTCCTCCTATTAAAAAGTCCATTTCATACTAGCTGAAAGAAAGATATCATTTTCTGAAACTTAGCACTTTAATCTATGCTATGATACGATGACGAGAGTCAATACGTAGCTTCCTTGTTTTACAGACACAGAAATGAGACACCATCCGGTACGGTAAGGAGAGGTCTATGTACAGCAGTGGACTATTAAATGCTGTTGATGATGATGATTAGCGCCAATTCGCGTAATTTACCAATTTGTGCAAATGGTATAGAAAACCAGATGTTAGGTGTAGGTGTTGGGACGTAACGGTCCCAATATATGTTCTAAAGACTGTCTAAGAAATGTTAGTTTAGCCTAATTACTCCATACTATTACTACACTAGCAACTAGTAGAGGAAGTTAAGTAAATCTGCACGTACATACCCATGAACCACTAGGTCATAGTGGGTGGCGACAGGACTATCACCGAATGTGTGATAGATCTCTTCATTGTTATAAAAACCAGTCAAGTATACCGGGCAGGTTTAGATTTATTAACACACAATAGCTACCTAGCACAATATTTGAACAGATACAATTTATAAACACGGGATATTATATGTTATTTAAAATCAATATAGAACATCTTCGATGTTCTTTGTATATCGACCTTTCGGTTAACATCGCTGCGGTATATAAGCCTCATAAACACATTCTGTATTATTTTCGTTTAAATTTTGTGTACTAGTATAAGTACTATTTAACTGTAATGTATGTATGTAGTTAATGTATATAAAGGTATATGCAACTGTACAATTTAAGTAAAATGTACCGATCAATTTAATTGACTAAACTAAAATGACATGTATAATATTTAAACCACAGAGTACAGTAGTATTATTAGAAAATTTAAACCGTCTCATGTCTTGTCCGTTCTACATTGTTTGAATACCGATATCTCTGTCACGAAGAAAGTAACCTAATAATTTGAATCATAATGTACTTTGATTATGCTTTAATTTTTAATTGCTTAAGCATACATGTTACATACTTACATAACTTACTTACTTACATTTTTACTTAAGCATACATGTTACATACTTACATAACTTACTTACTTACACAACTGTAAACAAAGCTTTAAATTAAATTGCAAATAGTTAAAATCTCGATAAAGTTATTTTGATATTTATTTTGTAATGATACCTTTCCTGTATTTTACACTCAATTAATACTCTGTCTCTCTGAGGTACATTAAAACCCGATGATCAGTTTAGAATGTGTGCTAAAGAACGATCAGAAAACAGCTAGATGGACAGAAAATAATGCACAAGTAATGACTAAAACTGCCGAACTCCCTTTCTTTTCATTAGATAGACTGCACGGATAGCGTAGTGGGTTAAGTGGTCGCCACGCCGCTTCCTACTACGCCGAGTGTTGTGGGTTCAAACCCCACTTTCTTTGTGTCCGTTTCATGTATGTTTGTAAAGTCCCCCGCGACACAGGAATTTTTATTATTAAGATTTGATTAAGATTTTTCGATGGAGATTTTAATGAGGCAGGAATTTCTTTGTTATTATAAATCTTTTTATTAGCAATGGAGAGTGACGAATGGTCCACCATCCTTCGTCTGTCACGGAGACCCGTTTGGATTCCAAGTGACCGAGATAATGGTGGTTCTTTAGGACTAGTCAGCAGTGGCCGTCAGGTTTGTTATTCTCAGTTAGTAAAGTGTAACACTTTAATCACTAATTGACAGTCTTCTAATAGGTGAAGCTGTAACTCTAGTTAGAATATAAATAACTATAAATAGAAGTGTGATGAACATTCGAATACAGTATTTTTTTAAAGATTTAGACAGAATTAATGATATTCTAGACCTAAGCAGGTTTTTAAACGATGTACTAAATGCGGGGATATGCGATTAAAAGAATTACTGAATTAACTCGTTTTATTTCGTTGTAGAAAATTGTTTAGTACATCCCAGATGACGAGTGAAATTGTTGTGTGAGGAGCCAGTTTTAGGTACAGCGGTCCAACTCCTTTGTACAATCCGTGTAGACCTTCGGTTCTGTATATCTTGGTGATGCAGTCTACTATCCCCGTGTACAATAATTTGCCATTTTGTGCCGGACCTAAATGCAAATATGTAATGGTTATTAATATTTCGTTCATTCGTTCATTAAATTATTGATTGACATTTGAAAAAAAAAATTGAAGCATTCTTACATTTTTTGCATTGTTGCGTGCATGCGTTACAGTAGCAATATTTAAATCAGTAGCCAGAAAGTTATTTAGCCTACTGCACTACTGAATGATAAATATACTTAAGTCTTAAAAAGAAACAATTTTAGAAATGTAGTCACAAACCCTGATTGTACAAGCGGATGGCGGCGACGTCAATCGGACAGACGGTCAGAACTATCACAATACCGCTTACTGCACTTGCAGCAAAGGCCAAGGCAAATGGAGAAGAATTACACATACCATGAGAAAGTAACATTTCCTTAGCTCTGCAATAAGATAAGAGATAAAATTGGACTGCGCGGATGACGTAGTGGTTTAAGCGGTCACCTCACCGCTTACTACTACGCTGAGTGTTGTGGGTCCGATCCCCACATGGGACAAAACATTGTGTGAGCCACAAATTGTTGTTCTTGGTCTGGGTGTTCTTTAATAATCGCAATCGCAATTAAAGTAGCATAATTTTACATTTATTGATAACATTTCCTAAGTCATCCTTACTTGGAAAATGTGGTCAGTTGTGTGGCGCTGCCAATGGCCACCCTCGGACCAGTTACTGATATTCCAGCGACGAAACCTTTTATACCCTCAGACTTAAATATTTTGATGAAACCGTCACATAGCCCTATAACAAAATGATTAATGAGATAATGAACCTCCATTCTAAGGAGAGGCTTATGTCCAGCAGTGGACTATTAAAGGCTGTTGATAATGATAATACTAACAGAAAATACAATAGACAGATCTTTCTAAATACGTAAAGATCTGATGATCGAGATGACTCACCATTATATTTATACTGTCTTCCTACAGCTATACTTGGGTGAGCATTTGATTGTAATCTAGTCCTGATGACAAGTAGAGGGTTGCAAATAATACCACCCAATAAACCACCTATACCCGACCAGAAGATTGCTTTGTCAACACTGATGTCTCCATTTTTGTTTTTTGTCCAACCATGTACTTCTGCTATGTGATAAATTCCTAGCCTGGAAACGTTGTAAATTGTCTTGAGATAATGTATTTTTCATCAAAGGCTTCGCATAATTCTATCGTCGCTTATTACCGGGAGAGTGAGAATACCGGAGCTCAAACATCTCCTTTACCCAATTCATTCTAGGGGGAGGGATGGAAAAACTTCCATCGAAATAATACCTACATTTGAAATTGGAAGGGGACTCCAATTTCCGCATTTAGACTCAAAAACGGTCCTTTGTGCATGTGCGGTAAGCTACGTGATTGGCAAGGAGCTAGTCCTCCCAGAACAGCACGAAAGCCACATGGGGCTTTCGCAGACTTCTAGGAGCGATTTTATATTATAAATCACTGTCGTCATAAGACACACATTTTATAATGTAGCAGTTTTTCTTTCTTTATGTGAATTTCTAAGATGAAAATATTCTCTCTCAATCTGCAAGTACTATAGTGGGTCCTTTGAGGATACCGGTCTATGTGTTTTTGTTATTTCACTTACCTCACAGAATTAACAACGAAACCAAGTATCAAAGCTGGAGCCAAGCCTTTTTGCAGCCCTTTTATCCCATCCTTCATCACAATGACATACATTGCATGAAAGGTCCCCCGATATTTAGTTTTCGTTTCAGATGAGGATTGTAATTCTCCTTGCAACTGTAGACGTGTTTTCACCACGTCCATTGGGGTTGTGAATGCTGAAGCGCCTGCCCCGGCCAATCCCCCGATTATAAAGTCCATTCTTTGCAAGCTGTAAGGGAAGATAGATGTCCCAGAACGTTTAGGAGATAACAGATATAAAGGTAATACGTTAAAGGACCCAGAAATACAAGTACTAAAATGATGACAAAATTAAAGAAGCACAGTATGAAGAAGACAAAACAAAAGTATGTTTCCTGACTTAGAAACGTGTAACATCGATTACCATGACCTCGTAAGTTTGCTGATACGAAACACTTAACAAAGAATGCACGTTACCACGAAAAACTTAATGCCGTAGCAATGCGATCTCGTACAACAAAATCCCTAATTCACCAATTCGAATCACTTAACAATAAGTTTTACCTGTAACTAGAAACATCTATGTATGTTTCTCGTTAGAGGTTTGGTTCGTGGCTTCGGCGACAAGTTTTTCATAGAAGCGCGCATTTGTTGCCTAGAAATAATTGTAATTCACTCCATTAGAAAGCTTTTCTTCTAGTTTCTACTAGGTTCTAGAAAGTTTTCAGTTTAATAAGGACTCGCATTTACCAGCAATAGGTAGTTTGAATATGTGCCAGTTTAAAATTCAAATGTTTCGGATGGAACTTTACTGTGATGTGACCTACTGGTTAATATTGTTAAAAGATGTCACTGCTGGCTAGATAGCTGGTCATGATATTGACATTGCGACTGATCAGATTGAGTCACCTTTTTCTCCTCCTTTATTACTTACGCTCTGGAACTTACTGGAAATCACATTTTAACGGTTGTATAATGAGAGAAATTAAAAAAAACAGTACCAACGGAGAAACTTGATGAGAGTTGTGTGTGTACTCTTGCTAAATGCACATTTGAGTCCTTCATTATCGTTAATAATTTAGAAAAGACACGGACTTTACTAGAAAACTATTGAAAATATAAAAGAAAAAAATTGGCAAACTTTTTTTAATGACTTTTTTTGAACTTGAATTTTTGTTTGACTATGACTAGTCACAAATGTAAATAATTTATAAAGATAACATGATTTTTTTGTATAATTTAATTAACTGATACAACATTTATCTTATTAATAAATGTTTGTACACAAAATAAGAAATGACATTTTTGTGTTTATCTGTTTTTTTTCTTGTATCGCCTCCGTCGTTTGAATATCGATGAGTGTGCATTTTTGTATTTTGACTTGACAACAATATAACCACTTATTACACAGCTTCGATGTTTTCTACGATACCATTTTACTTCAGTTAATATAAAAATAGTTAATCTCTAGTTATTTGCAATACGTACATAATATAACTTCTAGTCTTGAAAATGGAAAAATCAAGATAGAGACAAAAATCGCCGAGAGAGAACCGGAAGGGAAGATGACCATTTCTTATGAAATTTTGTTCAACATTCTGTTCGAAATACTTTCATTCAACTGCCTGCCTGCTTTTTTTAATCTTATATATTAAAGTCTAAGTAGGGAAACAGAACTTTCTGCCATGTTAACTTCAGCAGTTTATATGTAATATAAGTGACCATGTCATGTAAATGAGTGATGAAAAGATTTAGGTATGCTGAAAATAAGTCTGTCATGATTTTCTATTATAGTATAGGGGGCACACAAGCAGAAGGTACACCAGATGGTAAGTGACCACCACCCCCATGCACAGCTGCAGCTAAGTTACAGTAATTGACCTTCCCCCCCCCCCTCCCATAGGGGATGAGTTGGTTTGGGACTTTAAAAGTACGCAAGCACACGGTAAAAAGCTAGGCCACGATATCGTATTAGCAAGCTGAAGTGGTAGTGGCCATATTAGCACCAGAACCGTTGGCGTAAACGAGTTCTTGAGTGGAGTCCACGTCTAGGCGCCCACAGGCCAGGTGGAGTGACGATCTGCGACTGGATGAGAGAAGCCGAAAATCGATCTCAGTGGTGTGCAATGGGAGAGGCCTATGTCTAGCAGTAGACTGAGAAAGGCTGATGATGACGATGGTATCGTATGGCTTTAATTATGATATGATACTGAAATTCGGTCTGTTGAGTGGCTCTCTGGTCATTGCTTACTTAGTTGAAGGCACTGACCGTTATTTTAAAGCTACATCGCATCTCATTATATCGTCTAAAAACCCCAACGAGTCAGCAACTCTTCAAGGCGTTGTTGTACATTGTAATCAAACCAGCGCACACAGGTGAAGTTTACCTAATTTATGAGCAATATTGCTAAAATAAAGTTACTATGATTCAAAAATAGTAACCTAAATTAGGAACAAGACATGATACCTAGTGCATAGTAATAAAATGTTACTTACCTGAATCCAACTGTCCAAAGTCTGGAGAGACTGGTAATCTGTCATACAGGTCTCCTACTACAGATACCAGTCTTTCACATAGATATAATCTAATTATATTAAAGACTACTCCTAGTTTAAGCTTAAGTTGGACACTTTTTATTTAGATGCCAACAACACTTGATTTAAAAAGTTATTGCGTTGCGTCTAAATCAGTTACACAGGAAAGGGAAGGACTACTTTGAAAGAAAGAAGGACTACTTTGGTTTTTAACTATTTTTATTACTTAGAAGTAAATTGTTTAGTACATCCCAGATTACGAGAGATAACGTCGTATGAGGTGCAATTCTCAGGTACAGTGGTCCGATCCCTTTGTACAGTCCGTATAGGCCTTCGGTCCTATATATTTTGGTTAGGCAGTCCAGTATTCCTGTATACAAAACTTTGCCTTGTAGTGCTGTACCTGAAAGTGAGGAAACGTGTTTTAAAAAGACATATTTCCCTTTTTTATTTATTTTTTATGTCTTAGTAAAAGTCAGTAGAATTATTATAAGTTAAAGGAAAGCATTACGAATGCAGTCGAAATTATCGATTTAAAAGAATCCCATGAAAGAAGAAGACCAAGGAATTAGTGATTAGTTTAATAACGAGTCTGTACTAGTGGTCACAGTAGTGCAATTTTAATTTATAATTTAATTACTTCCACAATTACAATTGACTGCACGGATGGCGTCGTGGTTTAAGTGGCACCTCGCCGCTTCCTACCCACATGGGACAACACATTGTGTGAGCCACAAATTGTTGTTCTGAGTCTGGGTTTTCTTTGTGTTTGTTTCATGTATGTCTGTAAAGTCTCCCGCGTCACAGGAAATATTCCTAGTGCGGGAGACGTCTTTAAAAAAAATAAAATAAGAAATATGTCACATATAACAAAACTACCGGATTTACCAAAACAATATGTCACATAAATTATTATTTCTTAGAGACCATCCATATTTAAGCCACATTTTTTATTCGCCAATACATAAATTAAGCTGTTTCTTTGTTTTTGACCCTCGCCTTTTTCTTGTCACAGGCGGCCATATTTGCCCGCCTTGCTAGTGTGACGTTATATATTTATTAATTTACATTAACTACTAAATAAATAAAAACAGAAGTAACAAAACTATTATTACACAATATAGACCTTATTTAGCCTAAGATTAATATATTTTTGATTTTCTTTTGCCGTAAATGTTATATACGTTTTAATACTTTGAGACGTGACTTCACGAAGCTTGTGAATCCCTAAGTCACTTCTCACATTTAGTTGACTTCTTCCATTTTATAACCTGTTGTCTTTAGCGACACTTCCTCAGAGCTCCAAAAAGGATACTCAAGTTAAATAAACGAATTAACTATTACATACAAAACATTTTGCAGGTGACTTGTATCCACCAGGGACTTCCTATCTAGGGTATACCTGGTTCCCCGGCTATTGGTGCCCGAGACGGCGTGCGGTTTTAGTCGGTTCGAGTCCGACATGCCACCGATAGGTGGTATCCGAAGGGATTTCCGCACGGAAAAAAAAGAAAAAATAATAGGTGACTTGTATTAGCATTGGTTAAACATCCCTCAACCGTCACGTCAGGCCTCAATTCTGCTTTTTTTTTAATATTGTATCAATAGATCGCGATGGATTTGTAAGGAAATGAATTGTTTAATTTTCCAGATATGACAATGTTGTTGATATCACTATTGATGAACTATTGTCTCTACATCGACTTTCTATTGATGCTGAATGTAGTAGTATGTTAGTAGAATACCGCTATTTTGAACGATATCAGTGTGTGTGAATGACAGTGGCTTGTACGTTAATATAAAATAGCAGAATGAGGCCCTGGTCACGTGTTTTTCTACGTTAGTTGCCCGCTGGCCCCTGAACCCATTGAAACTAAGTTATTGAAGAGTAACTTGAAGGTAGACAGAAGATAGAGAGGATAGAGAATAAGACACAATATGTAAAACAATGATAAAGAAATTGTTTTTAGTTTTGCTATCACTTAATTTTTTTAAGTGGACAAAGACGAGACGTATCTGGACATTTAATTAATTGAAATTAAGTTCATATATATTTTCTTCGTTTATTATTTTTAAAAGGCTCTGATTTTGTTTATCCAGAGCAGTATAGCAAAACTCTTATTGTTATCTTGACTGTTTAGTACTGCCTCGGTTTAACTCCAGTATGATTCTATTCGACTCTCAGGTTTGACCTTGTGCTAGCACTACAGATCCAGTCCCTTATTAGTTGTAGTATCAAGAGGTAGTGATAACTATTTTTGAAGTAGGAGTATAAAAATACATGCACACAATTTTATACCGATTTCCCAGAAAATATGGCATAAAGTACTTCAAGTTTGTTACGTCCAGACCACCAAGTAACTTCAAATCAAACGTTACCCTGGTTATACAGCCGTGTATTTATCACATCCAGGGGTGTCTCGATAACTACCACAATTACACCACACAAGATGCTCGCGAAGAACGACATTAAAACCGGCGAATTTTCAAAGTACCCTCGCGCTCGAAGACTTTCTTTGAATCTGGAAACAAACTTAATCTTTAAAAATATCGTATCTCATAATAGGTACCAACCCTGGTTGTATAATCTGACGGTGGCAACATCGAACGGGCAAATGATTAGGCATACGACAACGCCACTCATTGCGCTTGCGCAGAAAGCCAGCCCAAATGGAGAAGACTGGCAAATATGGTGGGAGAGTAGCATCTCCTTCGCTCTGAAGATGAAATAAATATTAGAAGAACTGTAAACTTAAGGAATATTGTGGCCTAAATAGTTAACCGATATTACTTTATAACAAGATGATTGTCTCTTAAGTTCTCTTATAGATCTGATATTTTTATGTATTCACTATGTGTCACTATTTTAACCGACTTAAAAAAGTAGGTTAACTCTTAATTCGGTTATAGGTATTTATTTTATTTGGTTCCTCATAAGTTATAAAATTATTTGGATAATCTTTTATTTGTAGATATACTTTTCGTTTGGTCCTGAATCTGAAGAAAAAATACCAGATCTAAAAAATTAAGGAATGAAGAATGAAGTTTATTTGTATTTCGTCATGACGTAGGCAAATTACAGTCGGTGATAGGAAGTAGTTTAAAAGTAAATAATGTGTGTAGATTTTCCCCTAGCTCTTTTAGTTTATGTTTTCTTTATAACATATAATAATATGAATCATATTCATATCATGATATATGATAACGGTACCCAATAATTATTCTTACTTAGAAAACGTGGTGAGCTGTGCAGCACTGCCAATCGCCAGCCTTGTGCAAGTCGCTGACACCCCCGCAAAAAAGCCTTTAATACCCTCTGATTTATATATTTTGATGATACCATCACACATACCTGAAACGTTTAGACTTATTAAGCATAAGCCATGATCACATATAACCAAAAACACAGGATTATCATCATCAACAACCTTTAATAGTCCACTGCTGGACATAAAACTTTCTTTCTAAGGAGAGGCATATGTCCAACTGTGGACTTTTAAAGATTTAAGTCTGTTGATGTGATGTGAAAATGAATGAGTGATAACGGAGGCAAAAGCACCATCCACTTAACTCTTGGGACACTCAAAATGAATTCGACTGCCTCCTCCTATAAAAATTAAATATTTTATATTATAGAATATATTTTTGGTTAAATATTTTGGTGTGTACGTAGTGTATACAACACGTATAAGAAAAATGAGTATTCTCTAATGTCTTACTGTAATTTTATAACGTTATCGTAACGAAATAAGGAAATATGTTCACATCAATAAGGGCTAGACCTTTGAATTTTGCCCTTGAATCTAATATATCTGAAAGCAAAATCAACTTTTGATCTAAATGAATAATCTTTGACCTTCACGTGTTTTAAAGAACTTAGTAAATTTTTCCTTTTTCCAACAGCTTATTCGTATTTAGCATTTGTAGGTGCCTGTCGACCTTCTATGGTAAACCGGTATGGGATCACCAGATGCTTAGTGACTATCACGGCCAATAGCCTCATGCAACTGCTGACACAGGCCTCTCCTTAGAAATGAGGTGTTTGCCTTAGTATGCCAAAAGAGGCCCTATACGAACTCGTCTGGTCACTAGACGATTCTGGCCAGACGGGTTCGTATAGGGTTTGTTTAAAATTTTCCTTTTCTTTGCAGAGCTATTTGCCTGCATAGTTTGCTTCCTTAGTCGGCTCTTACGACACTTACGGGATGAACTGAGGGCCAAGTGCCAGTTTATATCACTTCTACTCGGTCGTCACGGTGACCGCGTTCGGCGCTAGGATTGGCCCACACTGAAATCTCAACCAATCGCAACTCGAGACTCGCCGTCGAGAGCGAGTCGATGTAAAATAAACTTGCACTCAGCCTTCAGGGGTGGTGACACTCCGTATTTTTAATCAGTCACCACAAGAATATTAACACATGACTCAGATCGCGTGTGTTCATTGTCAATCTACCCTCATATTTACCATTATATTTATGTTGTCTTCCAACGGCTATACTCGGGTGAGCTAAAGCTTGTATTCTAGTTTTAACAACTGAGGCTGGGTTGCCAGCAACACCACTCAAAGCTCCGCTTGCACTCGACCAGAAAACTGCTTTCTCAATACTAATATCACCGGTTTTGTTTTTTGTCCAACCTTTTACTTCTGCTACGTGGTACATACCTAATCTGGAGAAAGTTTAAACAGATTTTATTACTGTTTGAAGATTTAATTTTATTATAGATTTAATTATATTATATATTCACGACTGTTTGCATCACACCTGTGACTAATCCACAAAATCACTGTGAAAACGCCAGACTCGCGTAAGGTCTAGGCCTAAAAAAATCGTAGTCTATACAAATAAATAAAATTGGAGTGTCTGTTTGTAATATTAAAATAACCGCTTCTTACTAAATGCATGTGTATGTTTACACGGTACATATGCCAAAATAACATTTTTTCAATTTTTGTCTGTCTGTTTGTTCCGGGTAATCTCTGAAACGGCTGGACCGATTTCGACGGGACTTTCACTGGCAGATAGCTGATGATATAAGGAGTAACTTAGGCTACTTTTTTTAGGTCACACACACACAACACCGCGTGTCTCAGCTAGTCTTTAATAAAAAGAAAATATATTACATTTGTTTTTTCTTTGCTTAAGTTTTGATGGCATTATTCTGTAGCTGTTAAAAGTTTAATCACAGTGTTCCTTGGCATCTTTTGTGTATGACTTATGACAGTCACTAATATAATTATTGTCACAGATCACAAATCCTAGTAGTGTTATATCACAGATGAAATTCCAGTGACTAAAACCAAATACTTAATCATAAAATTATTATTTTAAAGTAGCAAATATCAATGCTTCGGTACAAATGGGTGGCTCGACCGGAGCTATACCACGGTCTCGCAGAAAACCGGTGTTAACCAATTCCTTTGTTGCTTATCACTAGTTTTCACCGAGTGAGTGAGGTTACTTGTGCTCCAATACTCCCTACCCACAATTCCTGAGGGAGGGATTCAAAGGGCTGAAACGCACCTGTGACGTTTGCGTTGTAGGTTTCATTTACCTTCAGGTGATAAATAAAACTCTTTTTTAACCGACTTTAAAAAGGAGGAGGTTATCAATTCAGATGTTTATATTTTTTTATCTATGTTCGGTCATAACTCTGCCATACATAGACGGATTTTCAAAATTATTATTTTGTTTGAAAAAGGTTTATTCCGAAATGATCCCATTTAAATTCCATATGGATCTGATGATGAGTTTCGGTGACAGACAAAGGAATTCTTCAAAAAATAACAGCAAATCAACCGCGATTGCTGCTAGATTTTTGAACTTTTTTAAGAAGTATTTTCTTGTGTATTTTATATCTGCCTGTCTTTTCATAGATTCAGATATTCATATATTCATATCTGCTCTTAAAAGACAACACACAAATTTTAGCTATTTTTAGAACAACCAGTTCTGCTAGCAACATATAATATGTTTATAGCCAGTCTGGATTATTATAATTTTATTTACCTTACAGAATTCATAGTGAAACCCAACACCATAGCTGGGGCCAATCCCTTCTGCAGCGCTAATGCTCCATCAGCTCTGGCGATGACATACAGAGCGTGGAAGATCCCTCTGTACCTCGTCGTGGTTTCCGACCTCGCACGTAATTCTCCTTGCAACTGTAGTCGTGTTTTAACTACGTCCATTGGGTTTGTGAATATTGTGGCACCAGCGCCGGCCAGCCCGCCAATTACGAAGTCCATTGTAGACTAGCTGGAAGATAACATCATATGGTTTGATAAGTCTTTGATACCTACTCGGGTGATTTGAAAAAGTGTATCGGCTGTTAGTATATCAAAGGGATTGCTAATGCTTGATACGAGGGCTGCTATTTATGTATCCGGAACTAGCGAGTTACAAAACAATATTAAAAAAGTAATTATAACATTTAAAAATGGAACTCTTTGGCTGAAGAATACAATTTGTTTCATGTATTTGTAGCTGTCGTTTGTTTATTAGTATAGTAGGCCAAAACCTCCTTTCTAAGGAGAGTCCTATGTCCAGCGGTGGACTATTAAAGGCTGTTGATGTGATGATTTGTTTATTCTTTGTGGTGTCATTTTTTAAAATGCGTGTCTCTATCACTATGGATTTAACTCGTGAAAATTTTCGTGCTATGATTTATTACGATATTCTCTCTCTCTCACTCACTTCGACTTTTGGGGACGAAGCACCATCAAAAACAACTGTGTATCACAGATTAAAGAAGGTCGCCCTAAATCGGTTGTTGTACCTCTAAATATTGATGCTGTGAGAGAACTAATAATGCAAGATCGTCATGTTACACATTGCGAGATAGAGTATGTATGAAAAATATATATAAAATAACACACGCTGTAAAAAAAATTGTTCATGTGGGGTTCCGCACTACTTGAGAATTGACAAAAAACGGTCTCGTGTCGATTGGTGTAAAAAAATGTTACAAAAGTACAATCAGGGTGCGTCAAAAGCTGTCAATAATATCCACACAGGTGATAAATCTTGGATGTATGCGTATGATCCTGAAACTAAACAACAATCAACGGTTTGGATGTTCCAAGGTAAGTTGAACCCAACAAAAGTCATTCGTTTAAAAAGCACTTTGAAACAAATGGTCGCTTGTTTTTTGGTATAAATGGACATGTGGCTACAGTGCCACTAGAGGATCGTAAAACGGTTAATTCTAAATTTCTTTTTTTTTTTATATAAAAGACAACTCCCGCACTAGGAATGAATCAGGATTCGACACAGGTGTCGCGGGGGACTTTACAAACATACATGAAACGGACACAAAGTACACCCAGACTCAGAACAACAATTTGTTGATCACACAAAGTGTTGTCCCATGTGGGGTTTGAACCCACAACACTTCGACGTAATAGAAAGCGGCGTGGCGAGCGCTTAAACCACTACGCCATCCGTGCAGGCAATGGGACACGACCCTTTATTTGCCAGAAGTCTTTGATTCTTGAAGAAATAAGAAAGAATAACAACAACGCAGAATCTTTCTTAATCATGACAATGCTAGCTGCCACAGATCGGCCGAAACAACTCAGTATTTGGAAGATCAAAAGATCTAATTTACGGGTCACCTGCCGTACAGCCCTGACTTGGCTCCCAACGACTTCTATTTATTCCCAACCGTGAAGAATAAATTACGTGGTCAACGTTTTCCGAGCCGTGAAGAGGCTGTTGATGCGTTCAAAATGCACGTTTTGGAGATACCACAATCAGAATGGAAAAAGTGCTTCGAAAATTGGTTCCAAGGTATGCAAAAGTGCTTAGATCATCACGGCGAATATTTAGAAAAGCAATAAAACTATAATAAATGCCAAATGTTTGTTTCACTTTGTTATTCCGGATACATAAATAGCAGCCCTCGTATCTATAAATATAAAAAAAACGTTCAAAGTTCCAATTGCACCGATTGGGCTAATATTTTGGCACAAAATACAACCCGCTTAAAATATGGTTTTTATCTATTTTTGTTTGTTCCTCATTTGTCATAAGCGTAACCACAATGTTCCACATCGAAGCGTAACAGGGTTTAGCTAGTATTTTATATTTATACTAGCTGACCCGCGCAACTCCGTCTGCGTCTCTCAATAGTAATAAATAAATTTTCTCCGTTTTTTGAAACATTCTTCATTGGTGCTCCGCTCCTATTGCTCTTAGCGTGATGATATATAGCCTATAGCCTTCCTCGATAAATGGGCTATCTAACACTGAAAGAATTTTTCAAATCGGACCAGTAGTTCCTGAGATTAGCGCGTTCAAACAAACAAACAAACAAACAAACTCTTCAGCTTTATAATATTAGTATAGATAATATCTTTATTTTAGATAATCTAAGTAGTTAGTTAAAAAAGAAATAACTAAATTTTGGCCTTGGCGTGTTCGCGCGTTGCTGTATGTGTTTTCTGGAACCTTGCGCTTTTTCCGATTCGTCTACAAAGAATTGTTATGACTGGATTGGTGAATTGTATACTATAAAGTATCAGTGAGGGTTGTTGTTAATTACATATTAATTTGTTAAATTATGATTCATTTAAAGAATTTTAAATATTTTCTGTTCGGTAATAAATTAATCTACACAAATAAATAAAATTGGAGTGTCTGTTTGTAATATTAAAATAACCGCTCATTACTAAATGCATATGTATGTTTACACGGTACATATGCCAAAATAATATTTTTTACAATTTTTGTCTGTCTGTCTGTTTGTTCCGGGTAATCTCTGGAACGGCTGGACCGATTTTGAGGGGACTTTCACTGGCAGATAGCTGATGACATAAGGAGTAACTTAAGCTACTTTTTTTAGACTAGCTTCGCCCCGCGGCGTTGCCCGCGGTTATAACAACAAACGCGGGTAACACCGCGGGTCTCGGCTAGTGTATTAATAAAATTACGCACTTAAGTAACAGTATAAACGCTCACCGAATACACATCCGCAGTTTTGCTCTAATAAGTCACGTTTAAAAAGTTATGATACTAGCGTTTGGTGGTCCGCGTGGTGGCCGAGGTCAGACATCGTAGAGGATACAATGAATCAAGATTATAGGTGTATAAAAGAAGATACAAACTATAGAGTATTTACTGTAACTTTGGTACTTGGTGTGGTAAACGCTACTACAAAAAAAAACTTTTATATAAATTCGCAACCACCATTTTGCACCCTCCAATCCGTGTGGTGACGGATTAAGAATACGGAGTATCGCCACCCCTATTCATCCCGTGGGTGTCGTAAGAGGCGACTAAGGGAGCAAACTACGCAGGACAACAACACTGCAAAGAGAAGGAAAACTTGACATAAAGCCTTTTTTTTTTTTTTTTTTTTTTTTTTTTTTAACGTGTGGAAATCCCCTCGGACCGTCACCTCTCCGGGGTTTGCGGCGGGGTGGTGTGTCGGACTCGGACCGACTAAAACCACACGGTGTGCCACTCTGCGCCTGTAACAGGAGGGATCCGGGAACAGCTGTTGTTAAGACATCCGGACCCCTCCTAGCGCCAGCCCGCTCCTGGTGCGGGCTCCGTCTCAGTATATTTTTCCTCTCTTTAGGCGACGTCCGGCACACGCGGACGCCGCCCCCTCGCGGCTGGCCAAACTAATGCGGGTGGAGGGGAAACCCACCCCGTCCACCCGCGGCCACACTCAGGGCGGCATGAGGCTGTGATAGGCGGGCCTCCGCCGCACGGTTCGCCGGCGGCGGATCGGGTCCGAGTGGAGGTCGTCCTCCCGGGCCCTCTCCGCCGCCTCCTTCCGCGAGATTACTACCTCGCAGAAGGTTGCGACCGCGGTAAAACAACTGTCGCTACCGGCCATGGAGCGTACTACGGCCGGTAGCGAGAGATCCACTCCGATGACTGCAGTGAGGGCCCGGCGCTGCGCCGCCCATGCGGGGCAGACCGCCAGCGTGTGCTGGGCCGAGTCCTCACTGCAGCCGCAGTGGTGGCAGGCGGGACTCAGTTCCCTCCTAGCGACCGAGTGCAGGTACTTTCCGAAGCAACCGTGCCCGGAAAGCACCTGCGTCAGCCGGAAGGAAAGGGTCCCGTGCTGCCGCCCTGCCCACTCGGCGATGACCGGCTGGAGAGCCTCCACGGCGGCGAAGCCAGCGCGTGGAGTCTCCAGCCGGAACGACCAACGAGCCATCGTGGCTCGGCGAGCGGCTTCGCGCCACTCGCGCACATCCTCGGGCGGAGGGCGAAATCCGCTCTCCGCCCGAGAGTCAGCCACTCGCCGATAAACTTCGGCGAGCACTTCCGCCTCCAAATCCCACGGGGGAGTTCCGGCCAACGCGCATGCCACCTCCGTCGAAACAGTGCGGTAACCGCGTATGGCTCTGACCGCCATTACCCTCTGAGGGCGCCAGAGGCGTACCCTATTCTGGGCGGTCAGAGCCGCCGCCCACACCGGTGCACCGTACAGTGCCATTGACCGGACAACCCCCGTGTACAGCCGTCTTGTCGCGACGCTGGGTCCACCCATATTGGGCAAAAGTCACCCTAGGGCAGACGCAGCGCCGACCAGCTTTGGAGCAAGCTGTCGGAAGTGCTCGTCGAACAGCCACCTCCCGTCGAGGATCAGGCCCAGATATTTCATCTGGGCCCGAACCGGTACGAGGACCGAGTTGACCACGATTGAGGCGCCAGGGGGTGGACCACGACGGGGCCCATGAAATAACAGGGCCTCCGTCTTATCTAGGGCCATCCGTAAGCCCAGCGCCTCAATGCGCCCGACCACCAGGGAGACTCCCCCTGTGGCCAGGCGCGCCGCCTCTTGGAAGTTTGCCCCCCGGGCTGTCACCAGGGTATCGTCTGCGTAACAGATTACACCCAGCCCGGGGGGGAAATCGGCGTGAAGGGCCCAGTCGTACCCTATGTTCCACAAGAGGGGTCCAAGAACAGACCCCTGTGGAACACCGCACGACATGGGCCGACTCCTCAAATTACCTTCTCGGTCCTCGTACACGACGGTACGCTCCTCTAAATAGTCTGCCACTAGCCGCCTCAGGTACTTTGGCACCCCATGATAGTGGAGTGCTTCCCTGATGCAGCTGAATGGCAGACTATTGAATGCGTTGGCGATGTCTAATGACACCGCCAACAGCACGCCGCCACAGCTCACGGCCTCTTCGGTCACGGCCCTCAGGCGCAACACGGCGTCGACTGTCGAACGCCCCGCCCGAAAACCAAATTGGGCGTCCGACAGATCGGGGCCCACCTC